CAAAGATCCACCAACTGCAAACCACGTTGTGTCGTAAATTGCACAAAAAACCGTGCTAACTGCGCTGCAAACCGCGCAAACGTTTTGTGTTGCAAACCGTGCAATGCCCTAATCCACGGTAGCCTGAACCGTGCGGAGGACGGCGGCTGCTCTAACCGAGGGGGTCCTAAATCTGAAGGGGGTCCCTAAAACCCTAAATTTTGCAACCTGCCAACGGCGACCTGACAAAAATCTGCTCTGCTGCCCTACTGCAGGAGGTGGAGGCACCATAACCGAGCGGGGCACCTTAATTTTGAGGGTCTTTAAATGTGGAGGGAGGTTTAGGCCTTTTTGCAAGTACAAGGAAGTAAAGTCTTAGACTTAAGCTTCTACGAGCGTCAAGAGCGAGAAATTCAAGTTTCCTAGGCTCATACCTTCAAGCATCAGCTCACCTTGCATTCGACCGATCGTCTTGGTGGGTGCGGTTCATAGGCAAGCAGCTACTAGACACTCCTTTACCTCGGGCTACAGTTTGTCCTCACCTCAGTTCTTTGTGACGGAACTCGGCGGTGCTCCAGCAAATTGCTATTGCTGTCGCTAGCCTCGACGAGCTCCACTGCGTTCGGGACTGTTTCGGGGCCTACTTCGCAAGAGCTCCGAAGGTAGCCCTGCTCTTCTTCATCGGAACATACCGCTCACAAACTCGCCAGCAATCTTGACAATCAAGCTCAAAATTGTCTCCACCAGAAATTGTTAAACCTTCCTCGTCTGCAAAAACTTTGTCTTCATGTCTTACCGGAATCATCCCTCGACAAATTTTCCGAACATATCAGTCACTCAAAAAACCATTACTGTCAGGGACAAAAAAAATTTGTCAACGATGAAAAATCCGTAAGCGTCAAAGAAAAAATGTCAACCACGTTGGTCAAACCTGTCACACTCACTATCACAAAAAACACATCGATCTAATACTACAAAACTAAAACGCATTGCTCTAATGTTGCAAAACTATAAACAAGTTTGTAAAATTAAATACTCCCCCATCGACTTTTGAAAAAGAAAAAATAAATTGTCACAAATTGTAAGTGACAAACATCAAACTAAAACCTAATTTAAAACATCAAACCAAAATTTGTCTCAAACTCCAAACCGAAACCCAATATCCAAGAAATTGTCACGTAGATCGTGACTTTTATCTGAAAATTGTCACAGAATGTATCATAAAATAAGAAAACTTTCAGATAAAACGCTTTGAAACCTAGTCCGAGTCGGAACCTACTCTGATATTGATTTTGACTTTAAAACTAGAGATCACACTAAGCAAGCTAGCAAGCCAACAATACAAGGGACACACGTATCATGTGGTTCACCCTTAAGTTCTACTCTCAAGGAGTAATACACTTGAAAGAGTTTACTAGTTCAAATGAAAACATGATTTCATCTGTAGAAGCATTGGGGTATATATATCCAAGGTAGGCTACCCATCTCAGCTATTTATAGTTACAGAGCTACACATGAGTTTTACTCCTTAACCGGAGTTAACCTCAACAAAAATCAAAAGATTTTTGTATTATCATTGAACTTCAAATTTATGAACAAATTTAAGACTGATAGCACCTATTTTGTTACAAAATCTTCTAAACATCAACTTTAATTATATTCTTTAGATCTATGTGATCTAATAGTTTGGTGAGTGGTTCCATATGCTTGACAATTTTTTTGAAAGCAAAAAATATGCATGTACATAGATTTTTAGATTTGGTTTTATCAAATCTAGCAAATCAAAAGTGTTATTTGACTCCAAGGTTCAACTTTTGATCAGCAAAAATTTATCATTGATGGATTTATCAAGATTAAAATATTCGATAATATCAAACCTATGTTGACAATTTTTATATTCATAAATGATTTCAAAATACATCTATTTTTGTTGGTTTGCTCTATTCAAAACTTTTTGAATAAACAATCATACTATTTAAAGATGACACAAGTTTTAAATTTTGTTTTTGTTTAGATACAAAATGATTTGTAATGAAGTTTAATTTGTTAGATCTCAAAATGAATGATCTCATCTTTGGCAATCTTAGATGAAAAAATGGTTTTATACATTTGATTTTTGCTTATGCGCGCTTGTAATTTATTTATGTAAATTATCTTTGTTTTTTATAACATTGTGTTTTAGTGAAAAACATAGTAATTTATTTTATAAAATCTTAATTTCAAAAATATTATTGAGTATATTCATAGTGGCATGTAAAAATATATTTTTCAAGAATTTTTTTTGAGATATAATATAATTATTTTGACTCAAGATATTTACACATTGATGTTGATTCAATTTTTTGCACAAAAATAAGAAAAAATTGCATTCTAAAAAATTATAGAGTTTAAGTGTTACTCATATTGATCACAATACGAGATATTTACGTTTTAAAAATGCCTGAAAGTATTTTTTATAAAGTTTAAAAGTTATTACAAAGGATAGACAATCTTAATGTTATTTACATATTGTGATAGTTTGTTGCTGCCAAAAATTTCAAAAACTTTAAGTGAGTTAGAAGATTTTCAAGTCACCATAAATGAATTAAAATATCATTTACGTCATTTAAGTTTGACTAATATAAGTCGTCAGGACTTATCCCTGACGACTTAGGTTAGTTTCTACTAGTAATTGGTCGGTATCTTCGTGTTACACGGCCACGTTTGCAATTTCGTAATGAAAACATAATTTTGACGCCAGTAATTGGTTCCAACACTACTTCTGTGTCTTAGGTTAGACTTGTGTCCACAACCGTCTCTATTGATTAGGCTACACTTCACAACGTTTGACGGACGATATATATATTATATGAATCCCTTCGCGACCTTACACATTTATAAGTCATAAAATGTTTCCATTCACACCTTCCTTCTGATTAATACTTTTTCCAGCATTATCACAAGTTTTTTAAGGGACGTGAATGAAAAATATCATTCGACCCTTCTGTCAGAAACTGCAACTTGGCAAACATAAACGTCCAGTTCTGTTCTAAGCTGTAACCAGTAGAATGCGCCATATTCTTCTCTCCTTAGAATGAGCCATAGTGAAAGGTATATGCAGGTCCAGCTCACTGGCTGCACTGCAGTGATAGCATTCAGTCAGTGAAGAAAAAATATCATGGGAGGAGAAGAGGGACAATTTGAGAACGCTAACACGGCAGTCTGTCTCTATCCTCGTCGTAGGTTTGTTCGAAGCTTGAAGTGCCAACCTTGTAAATGTGCTAAATATGTTGAGAAAAGGGATAGCATAAACGTTACAGAGACATCGATGAAGCAGCTTGGCGTGGATGGTAATTAGTCCAGAGACCGATTACAAGTATCGAGCAACGAATCATCTCCCCAATCAAATATGACCTCACAAGAAAATTCAAAAGTCCTCAGTACAAAAAGTAGGACACCAGTTGATTACTCTTCGCAATAGCAATCACTGAGTCCTTTAGGAGACTTCGTACCCTGACATAGATACCTGGAGCCTGAAATTGCTGAAGGCTAAAAGTAGCCACCTCTCTTCGGCCTATCTAGAACCAGCTAAAAACTCGAATAACAGTCAGGACCTCACTCAAAAGACTTCATACATTGACATACGCTCTGAGATTTGGGATCATAGAATTTGAAAAGCAGTCACACCTCTCTGCACCAAATACAGAGTCGTGATATAAGAATATTAAAGTACGAAGAGAATAAACAAACTTATTTTATCAACACAATCAAGCACAAAGGCCATGAAACAAGAGACAAAACAAAAGACAGAGAGTCTGGTTTTAAAGAGAGCTGACAGTAGAGGTAAGGGATTATACGAGTGGCATTATGGAACAGGTTACACAGAGTTAGAAGATGCAATTCTGATAGTATTGACTGATCGTGATGTTGACAAGTTCAGTTCAGGTAAGCCATAATTGGCTAATTATGGCTTACCAGTCGCTAATTTGCAAGACGGCTAAAGAAAAGAAAAATACATCTTCCTTGGTTTGGAGTTAATATTTAAAATAAACTGGACCTCAGATATACAGCAAGATTGTTGCTCACAACAAAGCAAATTACTGAAATAACGGTCGAGCAAGAAAAAGGAAGTGAACCCACCAGAACAACACTTTAACAGCTACAACACAGCAACATCACAGGTTTACTACAAACAAGCGGTCTGCAGACAGCTCCCCAATATTCACCTTCTATGGGCAAATGCACGTCGTAATAAGGTGGTCAAATAGTAATATACATGGTCTATTCAGAATAGAAATAACACCTGACATTCCAGCTTCTTACTTCCTGATCCACCTTGCCATTGGTAGAGTTTGACGTAGAGATTGAAATGCTTTGGTACAAGCTACAGCTGCTAAATCTTATACAAGGAACTAGTTTTAGCAGAATATCAAGCAAAAATCAGATCAAAAGCAAGCAAGCACAAACAAAAAGGACAGACAAACAAGAAAAGCCTGCAGACATGACAAGACGAACAACCAGAGGAACTGTAGTGTCATGACAGTTGCTGGAAACTAAGGCCATTTTCCCCGTCTCGCACTTTTCCTCTAAACTGCATACAGTCACGACAAAATTACAAAAATCTACGTTATATATCCACTAGTCTTTCGTTCCACATCCTTCATCTTCGGTCTTGCTGTTGTAGTCGACATATGCAAGTTCGATTACACGTTAAGCATCTTTTGCGATGATAACATCAGGCAATATTCCCACCACTACTCTAAGAGCAGTGATGACAATAATTGCAGTTATCACTGCCTATCATTTGTACAGTGGCATTTCTGATATAATAGAGAATGTGGTTCCGCGCTCCAAAAACTTTCCCTAAATTTGTCATTTGCAGTATGAAAAACCTGTACCTGTACAGGATGTCTAGTGAAAGCCAGCACTACTTTGATGGTAAAATAAACAAATGGTCTTCTCGGAGCACCAACATTGTACTAGAGAATACAGAAGCCAGACGCAAGATGCAAGCAGTAAAACGAGCCGCAGTACTACAAGGCATCCATATTGGAGAAACCACATTGTCATATTTAAAAAATTGGCTGTTTGAAAGCAGCTGCAAGGAACATATTTGTCACTCACCGTGTTGATATTTATCAAAAATGGGGGAAACAGGATCTCGCAAATAAGACATTTATATCCCAAGCCGACAAATAGGATTTGACTTGACTTTCTCGAGGTCGACCTTGTGTCCAAAAAGATCTCTAATGTTGTCAATATTGTACAGAATCATCGTTGGCCTTTCGAGAGAAAGTCCCCAGGCAATAACGTTAACATCTGGAGGAAGGCCCATTGGCAGAAGCATTTCTGGACGAAACATCCCCGAGTTGCCAATTTCCACCCACTTCTTCAACTGTTCGTGGTAGCTGAAGATCTCCATACTGGGCTCCGTGTATGGATTATAAGCTGGTTTGAAGCGCAATTTCTTAATTCCCAGCCGGCCAAAAAACTCATTCAAGACACCGATCAGGTCCCCGAGTGTAAGACCTCTGTCGCAGACCACACCCTCAATTTGATGGAATTCGGCCAGATGTGTTCTGTCCACAGCCTCGTTTCGAAACACTCGATCTATGGAGTAGTACCTCTTGGGAACGAACTTCTCCTGTGCCAGCTTGTACAGCATCCGCGAAGAGACAGCAGTGGTGTGAGTTCGCAGCAAATTCTTCTCTGCTTCCTCCCTCTTCCAATCGTATCCGTACCCTATGGAGCCATGGCCCCCTACCTCGTGCATAGTCTTTACCCTTTGCAAGTAATCTTCCGGCAGCTCTACTGTGGTGGCCGGGGTTTTCAGGAAGAAGGTGTCGTGAGAATCACGTGCAGGATGTTGTTGAGGTTGGAAGAGGACGTCGAAGTTCCAGAAGCTGCTCTCCACGAAGTTGTTGGTGGGCATTTCCTCGAAGCCCATGTTGAGGAAAATCTTCCTGAACTGGGCACGGACCTTCAAGAGGGGATGCAGATAACCACCCGAGATGGGGAATCCTAGGGCTTCGAAATTGTAGGCTTTGAATTCCTGCTCCTTCCATGCCCCAGTCTGCAGCATCTCGCGGGTGACATCCGTGGCGGGCTTGCTCCTCTTCAGAGCATACTTGGGTCCCTTGCAGACCTCGTAACCCTTCCACAATTTGCGAGCAATCAAGTTCCTCTTCTTCAAATCCTTGATCACGTCAGGAGACACCTCTTGCCCGTCTTTGATCGACACGAGCTGGCTTCGAACAATGTCTTCCGCTTCCGCGACCTTTCTTTTCATCAGAGGCTTCTGCATGACAATCCAGCCATTCTTCATCGCATTCTTCTGGCCGACATTGAGCAATTTGTCCCCGACCTTGGCCTTCAGGTCCGGCAGGGTGATTCCTTCCGGAGGCACGGCCAAAAACACCTGCATCTCCGCAGAGCCATTCTCCACATACTCCTCGCCCTCGCGTTCCAGAAACCAGGACTCGCGTGACAGCTCCTTGGAGTCGACGAGCTCGAATCCCGACAGACTCTTGATCACATCACACAGCACGCCATGATCCACCGAATGCCGAGACGCCCACTCGCCAGAATCCGCAATTTCGCCCACCTCGTTCAGATCCCCCAGCAAGATCTCTTCCACCACATCCTTATCGGCAGCGCCCATCGCTGCTCCCTCCCTCCGCAGCCCCTCCTCTCCGCACCTTCCACTTCCTCGCGAATCAAATCCACACCCTCCCCAATCCGATGCCCCAGCTGCGAATCGAAGACAGCCCAGAATCAATGTCCGCTCGAGTGCGTCGATCGCAGTTACAGGAAGAAAGACGCCCGCGAGAGCCAACGAGGGAGCCGTTTGTTTGCATGCTCGTGCTCGTGCTCGTCGGCCGGAGACCCCGTCGTCACCGGACTAGGCCCGACCGGAAAGCGGCCCACAGTCAGTTCAATTATCCTATTTTCTGGACGTAAATTAATTCACCAGAGGCTCGAGCTTCTGAGGCGACACGGGAGTGTGCCCTAATCCTTCCATTACGCAAATCGATGCGCCAATTTAGGGACGGACCTGCGCAGTAGCGGCAAGACGACAAAATCATTGTGGACGTGCCAGTGCCAATTCCTCCTCCAAACTGCGCAGCTAAGCTCTCGAGCTCTCCGGCGACCGCGGCATCGAGCTCTTCGTTCGTCGGCACGAGGAGGAGGGTCGTGGAATTGGGTTTCTGTCACCGGAAGAATCGCTGCTCGAATTGGAGCAGGCGTTAGGTGCTGCACTCTCGCGCGAGGATTCGGTGGTGAGATTGGGCGAGCGCTCGAGTCCGCCGGGGAGAATTGACTCGTCGGGTGGTGATAGTTTTGGCTTGGTTGAAAGAGGGATTGAGGGACAGGATGGCGCTGATGATGGAGCCCGGTCGCACAGAGCCTCTCAATGAAGAGGAAGACGCCGATATGGCTGCAATTGAAGCCATACGGGAGTCAGCTGTCACCGAGCTGAAGGTTGTACTAGCACCTCAATCTCAATTCCTTGCCGCGGTGATAAGTTGGAGTCCTGAGATAGAGGCGACACGATTAGGATCGCTGAACATGGAACACATTGTTATCCGGGACAGTGTAGGAGCTGGGTTTGGTAGAACTCCACCTTTCCTGATTATGGGTGTTCATGGAAATCTTCATGGTTCTGAATCAGGAGGATGTTATGGGACAGAGTCATTCAGAGAATTTGGAGAATTTGTCGTTGTATTCGTGATTCTTTCAGTCAAACCAAGCCAGTGTGCCGTCCAGCAGTCGCCTGATTCCATATTGAAATCAGTTCTTTCGAATACTGACAGTTTGTGGTAGTTTATTATCTAGTTTGTGTGTGAATGCTCACGATAACCAAAAGGCAGGACGAAACCTGATGCGTATTGGGATGAATGGTGGACGTGCGCAGGACCAAGGGAATGATTTTGTTAAGAAGGGTAAGAAGCACTACAAGGATGCGATTGATTGTTACACAAGAGCGATTAATCAGAAGACAAAGGATGCGAGCATGAATTCCATACTATATGGCAACAGAGCTCAGGTGAATCTGCTCCTTGGAAACTACAGGCGAGCAATTGATGATGCTGATGAAGCTGTCAAGCTCAATCCATCAAACGTTAAGGTTGTCATCGACGCCATATAACATCTCCTAATTGTGAGTTTGCACAGTTCTTGCCACCGAGTTCGTCCATTGCACTCTAAATAATCCTTGTAGTAGTGCGCAGCGTCTTTTATTCGAAGGTGTAATAGCATCTATGATCGTCATTCCTCGTTGAAGTCGCAGTATTCACCCCCTTACTCTTCTAGTATCACCTCTTGCGCCCCTCTTATCTTGTCTGTAAAGTCTTTGTAGCCGACGGTTATCAATTAATTTTTTCGAAGTTCTCACTTCAATATAAATGACAACTTTTCCGCTGCTGACTAAGATACAATAGACGACATTGGAAGAAATGGCTTATCCATGATTACAATAGTTGAGGATGTCAATCAGTGTAATTATCAAAATCGTATTGCAGTAACTTTCTGCTATCTTCTCAGCTTCCGTCTCTTTATTGTTTATGGTATGAAATATAGACCTTCATCACACTGCAGTCGTTGCCTTACATGTAATGTAATGGAGGTGTATTTTATGATCGCCCATAGCCCTCTCAAGTAATTTCGTCGTAAATCGAAGTGCGTGGTTGCTCAAGCGTTGCAGGCTTTTTATCGTGGAGCGAAGGCTGCACTTTCTCTTGGATTATGGCCTAAGGTAGCCGAGCTATGTTCTGAGGGTCTCAATGTAGAACCTGCAAATAAGGAGCTTCAAAGTATGAAAAAGCAGGTTGAAGAGAAGCAAGCAGCAGCGGCCGAGTCTAAACGACGTGCATTAGAGATCAAATCCAAGGCTGAGGTAAGAATCTTTGTACGTTGTTACGTTTTATGTTCAAAGACCTCAAGGAAATTAATACTAGACGTATAGGCCGCTTTGAGAACCCCCCTTCTCCTAAACAATACAGCGCATGGTTTCAAATAGTAGGAATGCAAACTAGTTCAAGAAGGGATAATTCTATGGGTATAGTAGATGCAACTGTTACCTGGATCTGCATGCGCTTCATCTTCATGATCGGGAATTAACAGGAATACTCCTTCTGGAAGTTTTCTATTTGTGCAGGCTCTGGTTTTGGCTTTAGAGAAAAGAAAACTTCGACTGGGCCAGTCGAAGTACAGACAACACACTGGCCTCCGTAGACCATCGCTGGATAGGAGTGGTATTCTTCACTGGCCTGTCCTCTTCCTCTACGGAGAATATATGACCAGTGATCTTATCGAAGACTTTCCAGAAACTGACATGTTTAAACCTCACTTGGAAACAATATCCTTTTCAATGAGAAAGCTTTTGTAGGTCTAAGTTGGTCAAGTGAAATAACTACTTCTAGTGCAGGAGGAAGCTGTGAGGACGGGGAGAGCTATGAGTTCTTGTCCTTGCTCCTTGTTCTCTGTACAAGTTGGCTTTTCAGCACTTCTATAACTTTTGTAGAATATGCGAGGACAGAGGTTGGCTTCATGTCTATTCATTTAGATTGTTGTGACGATCATGATTTCTATGAAAATTCAATGGGTAGCATACCTTAACAAGATCTTACATGTTTGGAAATAATGCTCCTCGCTTGACATGGGACACAGCGAACGCTTACAAGAGGGATCGGATAGAGTTATATTATCAGGTACGTGGGCAGCTCTTAAACTCTTCAATTATGCTGGAGTCCGTCGTTCTCTCTTCCTTTCTCTTTTACCATCTGAATATCTCAATATTGTGAACTTCCGGAGATGCACTCGGAGGAGTGGACCACTCTGCTCCACTTTATGGAATGTTGTGAACTTCCATGCCTTAGTTGCTGAGGTCAAAGCTTCTTCGACATATATAGGTACAACGGAGGTAGTGATAACCGATAGCATTTTCATCTGACTTTTGACCTTTTCATTCACATTATTCAGACTCATGTTGGACCAGTTTTATCGAAAAAGCAACTGCTGACGTCACTGATGGAGGGTGAGGTGGGCCTGGAAGGACTAGACCTGGACGGCGGTGGTGAAGACACAGCTCATGCAGGCAAGTCCTTCATCTTGGCTGTGGTCTTACTTCTACTTGTTATGTGATCTTACTAATCTGTCTAACGATATGTTTCTACCCCGATTTGTTCAGATAGTGGTGAACGTCGGTGGGTGAAAGTGCAGGAGCGGACGACCCTGCACGAAGTAATTGCACAACCTAAGCACATCATACCAGGAATTCCAGGTAATAATCTAGTCTACAGTCATAAGAACACAGGTTAATTTCGCATTTCTGTTCAAACTAGATTTCATCCACTTCTACAGAGCACTCTTTGTATGTATTCAACCTTTTCCCTTCCAACTCTTGCTTAAAAAGCAAGATTTCTGGGATGCCCTCAATTCTCAGTAAGCTGCATCCATTTGTCTGAGGCATAATTGTGTGTTTGAACTGCAGTCTTCTACGTGGTGGCAACCGGCACGAGCTTTCGAGAGAAGTTTTTGAAAGAATGGTCTCCCCCATAAAACTGTCAACTCCATTTTCGCATTACGAACTTCTTATGGTCGAGTATGCTTGATAGGAGTCACAATTTTGCAGCAACGAAGAATAATTGGCTAGCATCTACCAGTCGTGAACAACTTTGAGTATCCTTAACATCCCAAGTAATCATTTGAAATTGGAACTTGGAAAGAGGCTAGACTGGTGCTACGAAGAGAAATTTGTGAGAGCGTGGATAGGGAGTCAATAGTTGATTGTCCAAATGAGGGATAGATATTTACCGGCGAGCTAGAAAGGAAAAGGTTGAAACTCCACTGTGCCAATGGAGGAATTTTGTCTGCACTACAATCTCGGTACCTGTTAGGCTGTTGTGTTAGCAACATTCTCAGGATCCGTTAAGTTACTTCATCTTCTTCTGTAATTCTCTCAAAATCTTTTCAATGTAATTACCCTGCTCCGATACACTCCATTCACTTTCGGGCCAAGTGTAAGCTCATTTGAAGAAATATTTTTGCTTCCTTGGGCGCTTGTGAAATTCAACATCCTAGAAGCTAAATTCAGAGTGTTACGGGAGCTGAAACGAGGATTAACGTTCATCTCAGTATCTTCCTGGTACATAAGCATTTTCCACGGACCAATTCCATTAAGCAGTTCGTTTGTCCTATCAAAGTGTTTTTCCTTGAAGCAAAGACCTGTTGGAAGCATGAGGCTGCAACTGACCGTCCTCCCTATGCCCTTGGGGAATAACTCATGATGTTCCAGGGTTCGATGTGTACAGAACTTACTCCCATTTCCATGAATTTCGACCCACGTCGTGGCCATTTCCTTCCACACAACACAACGGAACATGCATTTTGTGTGGGATTATGTGGACTGTTGCTGAGCACCTAGAGAGTTGCTACCAGAATCCCACCGTAAGTTGCACAACCCTGTCAGTCTAAAGGAGTGTCATAGATGGCTCAAGGTAAACTGAGAATTAAGAAAACATTTTAAAAAGGACTTTTGAACTTGAAAATCACCGTATACCAAGGCGTGTTCGTAATTGTTACGATTGTAATGGAAAAGCAGGAGCAAATGAATTGTACCCATATCCCAGTCACCTCTGCCACACCTAAACTGATCAGCTTTCACTTGAGAAAGACGAATCAAGTGTACTCTGTGGGTTCTAGCACCACAATTCACGAAATGGGATCCAAGTTTTCGTCATCTTCCGTTTGAGCACTCCAATGGAGACTCCTTACAGATAAGTTTCCTCCAACGGTAAATACGCAACAACACTAATTCTCACAAAAGCAAACAAGACCGATTTTGTAGTCGGCAAAAATGTCACAACAAGTTCAAGAACATATATCAAAATTGGGCGAAATTCTCCAGTGAGAGAGCCCACATACATTACTCTTGAATTCCGTCATCAAGAGAGACGTCGATTTATAGAAGATTGAATGAAATACTCCACGGCTCTGATAATCTTCTCTCTGTTATCAACTTTTATAATTGCTGCAATAGAAGTAGATTGTTCTGCAGTCTGTCACCTCAACATTCAAACGCTAATTCGAGATGAGGGTGGTTTCGAAGGCCTCTCGCATGGCTTGAAATTTGGCCCAAATCTTGTAAACAGGTTCCCTCCCGGCTTATTCCAACAGGCACGATTCTCCTCCGTCCAGATCTTGCCGAAAGTAAGTCTTATGGAAAGGCCTCCCTTCAGCCCATAGCATCATCACGTTTTCTATCACCGCTGCTTTTAGTCCCTTCAATTCCCTTAAACCTCCGAGCCGGTGCCCGGCTGCACGTCGACTGATCAGTACAATCATCTTTCGATTCGAAAGCCCTAAGAGAAGCCTGAATCAGCAATTGAATCGTTCAGATCCAAACGAAATTATACCCACTCACTCATTGACGGACAGCAAAGATTGTCGTTCTTGCATGGGGCACTCCACGAAACAGGAGGTTCGACAGCGAGCAGGGATGAGAACGAGGCCCAAGCTCCGTAGCTCCATGCTGTATGGGCTGGCACCGGCACCGGCACCGCAGGTAGAATCTGAAGAAGAGGAGGCTTGACTGATCTGCCTATACTCTGTCGTATCGTACAGAATGATATTCCCCTGCTTATCCAAGCAATGGAACTTGCCCATAAAAATCCGCCCGTCCTCGACCCCGACTCTCAGCCTACGATACAAAAGCTTGCGCGCTTTCTTCACCAAAGGGCTCGGCGATCCCGCACCGCCCAAGACTTCCTGCAAACTGGCGGCCATTTTCATCAATTCATCGCTCGGATTGTTCAATTCCTCGTCACCCTGCTGCTCCGGCGCCTCATCGCCCACAGAACGAACCTCCTCCTGCTGCTCCTCCCTGATCGAGTCCATTCGATGATATCTGCGTTTGCCACTTCTGCCGCCCCACAGCTCTCCTTCCCGTCTCCCTCTCCCTGTCCCCGAGCTTCTCTCCAGGCTCCCTAACCTGCTCTCCGAATGACGACGCCGATGACCTGTGCCCGAGAAGCCATCCTCTCGCCGAGTGATCGAAATTGCCGGAGCTCGTCTCGTCATCCGTTACCTCATCGACTGGCACCAGAATGTTCATATGAGACGCACGTTGGGGAACCTGGAAAGGGTGAGAGAAAAAATGTCTCGTCTCCCAGTACCAAAAATGTTATGCTTAGGCATTTAATCGACACTTCGAGTTAGGGATGATCAGCTCAGTTATGTGGATAAAACTTCACATTTTTCAAGTGTGATGGCACGCTTTCTTTTTTTTATCAATTGACGGTTTCATGTTCCCATTGTTGGGCTGGATGCATGTAGTTGATAAAACTGATCATCATGTGGGCAATTTTAGTAATTCATAGGTGATGAGTGAGTAAGTATTTCATGACCTAGAAAATTAAAAAAACTTGAAGTATTCATATTATGTCTATAAAACTAGTCAATGTTCCTGTTAGTGATTATCACCAGTCTTAGTCTTAGCGTTTACTTCCACTACAAACAAATAATCACATTCTTGAAGTGGGTTTTGAAATGAGAATCTGAATATTTATTATGCTCAAAGTTTGAATTCGCGTTGAGTGTATTTCTTCGCTTTTGTATCATTTAAACTTCCCTTAATCTTACTGTGAAATTATTTTTTTATATTCACACTATAAATATAATGGAACGAGAGCGTATTAGAGCGAACATGATTCACATGTATAATTTCTTATCATAGTACATATCCAACTATGCAAACTAATTTTAGAATTGATAAATATATATTATTTAACCATATCAAAACGGAATATTATTAGAAAATCAAAATTTAGCATTAAAACTGATCCCGAGTGAAATATGAGCATCTAACTTTAAGTGGTATATGCATCAACGAAAATTATTTAAGAATTGAGTGAAGAAAAATACTTGATATCCACATTTATGATTCATTTTTGATGATGAATATTTACCTTAATCTTTATCTTAAAACTTCAATTTTTCTTTTTAGTAATCAAATTGCAAATAAATTTTTTTTTTGAAAGACGGGAACGTAATGATTTTATATATATCTCTAGTAATTCATAATTTTAATAGAAATGTACTACTTTAATGGCGTTTTGCGATCTGAATAACTGATAATTGAAAGACTGAAAATATTATAAAATAATATCTACAATTGATGATCAGTACTGAATAAAATATCTACACGAATAGTATAAAGGATTTCAGCCTACTCTTGTCCTTAATAACGATTTTTAAGTTCATGCATGCTAAACATAAATTTCATTTGATGTTTTTCAGCTTGTGTTAATAAGCGTCAGAGACGTATAAAAGATACTAGAGGGCTAAAGTAGCAAGCAAGAATCTACATTTTCATATGCTGACATATTTTTGGACAAAAATTATTACTTTTGACATGCAATGATGATCCCATAAAACCGAGATGAAGATCGATGAGTTTCTGAGCAGCAACAATTCAAATTGAGCCCTCCTAGTGATGATGTAACTTTTCAGCACTAGTAATCTATCTATTTAATTTTCAACCTAGTATGTCCAAGATAGAGAATGCCGATATTACCGATGTCAAGAGAGAAAACAGAACTAGATTATTTAGGCTATATGTACATTGAAATCTCTATCTAGGACCTTTCTTTACATAATAATCTAATGAATCTCTACATGAAGGTTTGTTGCATTGAAAATCATGACGATGTTGCGTTATTAGAGTAAAGGGAGACATCCTTTTCATTGTAGCATGTACACAGTTCATTTCAATAACGTTTATGTGTTTTAATGTGGTGTAAGTTTCTTGTTGTGTCGTCCAAAGGTATTCAAATTTTATTTTTTTAATCTCAAATCTTTGATTATCATGATTAAGGACAACTATAATTCAAATGATGAAGATATCCTTATGTACCTGAGCCATCATTGAGAATGTTCTCAAACTGTTTGTAAGGTTTGTTATTATTCTAACCTCAACACTGGAATGATTTTTAATTAGATTCACTTGTTAGTAAAAGTTTTGACATCAACTTTGTGACAATGAGTGTAAACATGTATGTAAAAGAAAAGTTTCTAATCTGTGTTTTCAAAACTTATTTAATCAACTTGAAATTTTAAATGCAGACATTGCTTCAAGTATGATATTTCTTGTTCTCATCTTCTGCGGGTTTTGCAATGTATCCATTTACTCCCTTCCATCACCTCAAAATACTCGAAAATAAAGTTGCTCACTAGCTAATCTATAGCTATTCGTATACCATATTTTTACATGGCAAGTTTCAGCTTGTCTCAATATAAGTCTCATCTTCTGCGTCTATGTTCACGATCTGCGAATTATCTCTATCATTCAACTATCACTTTACTCTTAAACAAAAATTATATAATGAATCAAAATCATGGACACCACTTTTGCTCTAAAGGAAGATGAATTATCATAATTAATGAGTAAGATAAGAATCGATGACGAAATGGTTGTAATAGACAACAGAAATGTACATGCAAACTTCACCAAACGAAAGCTGGAGAGTACAGCAGTCGCTGACCTGTCCCAGTACAAAGTGCCACCCTGGCAGAGCCTATTGTCAGCTATTGAAGCTCTCGATGCCTCTCTCGTCCATGGGTAAGTGCTTACACAAACCTGAAGGAACGTTTGTCGCAGCAGTGATCCCGTCGCTGCTTGAAGCAAACGAGATCAACGGGAGTTGACTTTGCGAGTGTGTAGAGGGAAGCGAGGAGCTCGGTGTGATGCATCGGTGGACTTTTCTCGTGTCACTTCTTAGTGCAGGTGGTCCGATCGAGAGCAGCCGTGCTCAATCCTTGATCGGAGTTGAAGGAAGAAAGGGCGAAACGAGATTTTGTGATATTTGGTACTAGGTTTGAAGAGATTTCTCATCTGTAATCCAATGGCTGTTGGAGTTTCTGTTCGGATGTTGGCAATTGTGGCGATGGCTGTACTTCTTTCGCGTGCTACTGCACAGCCAGCCCCTGTGACTGCTTCTCCTGGCCCAGAATCCGATGGAGGGGGTGGTTCGTCAAACACAGCAGGAATTGTTGGTGGTTTGGTTGGTGGACTGGTGGGATTAGGAATTCTGGTTTGTTTTCTTTACATGAAGTGCATTAGGAAGCCTAAAGCAGCAGCTTCCGAGAGCGCTCCAGTCAGCCAATACCTAAAAACTGGTGAGTATGATTTCGTTGAGCACGAGTGGCAGTTTGTTTTCTACTGAAAGCTGATTGACCTGCATGTGTCTGATTGCTTTTCATTCGTGTCTTGCAGGGTTCATTCGAAATCCCCAGGAATCGGATGTGGAATCAAAGCCAAGAAAACACTCTACTCAAAAAGCTGATGTTGCGTCCCCTGATCCAGCTTGAGGATTTGACTCTCTAGATGATGCGAAAGCTGCAACAACAAATTGCTCGCTATTAGTCAATTTGCCAGCTGCGGCCTACAAATAATCCATCTTGCCGTGATCAGTAGAACTTCGTGAAATGTGAAATGTTGCTTCGTCAGTTCCATTTTATCTTCCCTCTGCAGGTCAAGCGTGGAAGAGAGAGGTGAGAAATCCCAGTGTGTATCATTTTGTACACGCTTATCATGCAACTTAGATATTGTTTTCAATTATCAAGATGTTTTCAGACTCATTCGAACCGTGAGGAAGAACTAATTCCTGCACTTGGTGCTCTCGTTTGGTGTAGGCAGCGATCTACAAGTTGATGGAGGCCTTTGCTGCACCATTGCTTAATGTCCTTCTACTCCTTGTAAAATCTTGTAAAATTCACCATGGTCAGGGGCACAAATTACGTGACCAGATTGCCATCAAAATTCCAAACATGTCTCTCATATAGATATAGAGGTTGAAGTAGCTTCGTTTTTCAATGCATGCAGTGTATGTCATAACTCTAACACAAGAATCCGAAAGGAATAATAATCTAAAGGAGTTTTTAAGCAGATTCTGTTTGTTGTGAAGCAGGCAAGTAGTGGCAAAGAATGTCGAATGGTTAAATGGTCGTCTGATGGTCACTTTCGCATGTCTTGTGCCTTTCATTGATTCACTTGAATGTATGTGTGTTGTCTTCTTGCATGCAAGACGGGGAAGTTTGTCAAGCCAAGCAGTGAACTGATTGGAGATATTTCGTACTCATGTGATTGATGCTGCTATGCACTCATTGCCCGTGGAAAGAGTCGTTGAGGCCCAAAGAAAAAAGAAGGATCCAATACCAACTTTCTTCTTGGAATGTTTGAATATATATATATACAAACGTAGGGTAATTGATTGTTTGTTTTAAGAGGGCGTGGGTATTGCTATTGCCATACATATGGATATATTCCACATTGTAATAACAACTTAGACAACACCACACATCAAAGAGATGTGTCTATGGATGCAATAACCACACGAAGTGATCTACACAATAAGTAAGTACCAGCATTTTAACATGAGATTTGCATTTAACGTATGCCAGCTGCTAACAAATCATAACGTTATACTTTCACAACGTTTCTTCAAAACCTCAAAAAGGCATTTTTGTCTTCTTGTGACCAGTTTGTGTCCAAGAATTGAAAGTATTTACCAGGAGACAATTCCGAAGATAACTAGTAGATGTACTTTTTGGTAAACATATTACTCTTGGATGGGTAACGTGGCCACTTTTCTCTTTGAAATTTATACTTCACGAACTCCAGGAGATCTATTTTGTTTCTCTAATCATTTGATGTATCTTGGACATCTTATCAAGGAGAATTCATTGAAATTGAGAACTATCTGCTCATAATTTCGGAAAATCGATCCATATTGTTCCAAACAACACAAGCATGAAAGCAATAAGAGGTTTTGTTTCACATACGCACTGTTATTTAATGTACAGTAAACATTCGCTTAAATCCGCAACTTGATCAGGGAGGTCTGGTGCGGACTTAACTCCTCTCAACCTCCGTAAGTCAGTTCGTTTCTCTCTTCCTCCCTGCCTTCGGTTTCCATCTCCCACGCAGGAAGCTCAAGCCGAAGTTGAAGAAGCCTAATCAACCCCGCTTGTTCAGGGTTCGCGTCTGCTCGTTTATCCTCCCTGCCTCCCTCTTCCTCCTCCTGGCGCGGCCTCCGCTCTGTTGCGAGCAGGGTTTGAGATCGTCTCCCAATGAGGAGGTAGAGGGGCGCCAGCGCCTTTAGGCACTTGCTTCGGCGATAGGCAGGTGGTTTTCTGGGTGACAACCGTCGACAGCAGCTTCTATTTTGCTCAAGGAGATTTAGAGCATTTGCATCTATTTTGCTCAAGGAGATTTGGAGCATTTGCATTGCATCCAAGTGAAACAGTAGCTTCTATTTTGCTCAAGGAGATTTTTTTGTAAAATACACTCTTGAGAATTGATCTAAGAATTTTGCGTTGTGAAGTGCGGACTTAATTGGAATGCGGACTTAAGCGAATGTCTCCTGTAGTCTCCAAATTCTTCAATGTGATTTATACCCAGTAGACCCATTGAGCATCGCATGACGGGATGGTTCGTTGTCTAGATGACCTTTTGGGAAATCTGGAAAGCTCTCAACACGTCAGCAGGAACTGTGGACAAATATGCGGTGCACAATTGTAATGCTCATATCCAAACTAATTTTTCTTCATAATTCTCTGCAATCCCGACCAAAAGAGACCTAGAAAATCCCTTGACTTTAGCAACTTATTAATATTCGTGTAAACGGAGCGATATAGCTTTTGGTTTTCAATGTACGATGAATTAAAGTAGAAGCAATTTGATAGAAATAATATCCTGCGCTAGTGGACAAAAATTTACATTTCAATCAGATGCATATCTACCATTACATTGGAAGACATAATTTGGTTGACGGATTATAGGATTTTTTGAAAACATCAGTGGATGTAGGTCCTTCGAATGTATGATAGGAGAACTAACGAGGAGTCAGGTATCTATCTAAATTTTGAAAGGAAGCGTACGAGGTGATTATGATTCTTAATTTATTATGATACGAGGTGCTAGTTCTATTCGCTGGTTAGCAGAGTGAAAAGTGGTCCTCTTCGAGTGTGGTGAAATCTCTACAATCTTGCAGATGACTCGTTGACTATGACTCCACAGAATCCGTTTTCCCGGAGAGGAATAAAAAGTGAGGTGGAACAGAAATTGATTGATTGATTGAAGCAAGAGTACGTGTATTTATGTACAGAAGAAACTTATACTGTACGCACCAGACTGAGTATACATAGGTGAATCAAAGATTTCAGCCCAGGGCCTGTAGCTACATTCCGTGAGAAACCCACTCATATGTAATGTGCAGTGGTGGTATTGGAATCAGCTAATAATTGACCCGTGACTACACCTCAATCAGATTTTCCATTCTCCACCCACTGCGACCGACCAAGTGAGGTGAGATTGCACCTTGAGGGAGTCACAATTGCCTGCAGTCTGTCTCCACCAGAAGTGAGATGGACAACAAGCATTATGCAATAGTCACGGATGGTTCTACATATTGCAAACGAGTCATCTATAGACGGAAACATACCTACCTATGAAAGTAGTTTCTTTCAACCCAGTCCTGTCATTCTAGCAGGACCCGCCTCCATTCATCATTATTTGAACCCTGAATGTCTTTCTCAGCCGCCTTGTCTTCCGAGACATGTGCCTGAACGTTTGAGCCCGATGTGCCCACCAGCCAAATTTCAGTGTTTTTTCACATATCGATTAGATTATGAGTTTTGAAAAGTAACCAGGAAAGTATTTATCTTGTCATTTTCTTGACTTTAAAGCCGAATTCAATGTTGTCCGCATACAACTCGAATGGAATTGTTTACTCCCTAGACATCTACAACAATCTACACATGCGTACTAAACTCATTCCCAGACATCCCATGGAAAGTTGAGCACCCCAAGAAACCATCATAGCCTTTTCAACCAAGGTCTGACATCATGCATAATGGTTTGCAATCTAGAGGAGCGTAACCCATTCGGCAGTAGTAAAGGCAGTTTGAACATAGTTCTGGTTTGTTCTAAACTCAATAGATTCGCGGAGAAGAGTAGACATCATGACTTGGCATCATTACTTCAATATCTGGAGTTGGGAAGGTGAACAAACTTCAACATATCTCATCATCAATCGATTCATGATGCCTAGTGATAAAGGCGGACGCGAACGATATATGTGTCCAAGTTGATTCACGGCATGTTTGAGCTCTGCTATCCTAGATCCGAGAAGTGCACTGCTTTCGTGAGAGTAAAAGTCCTACAGCTACTCTATGTATACCATTGATATTCCTGTACATGGAGGAGTTCTGTCTATGAGCTATTTATGTTACAAATCAATATCGCACTGGGAATGTTGTTCTCTCCAGGTCCTGGCAAGTTCCAACGGGGTGAGTAAAGTTCAAGCACACTACTCAAATGGAGAAGAACTTCATGGATTTATATGTCGGTAGATCAACACTTTTGAGTGAATCTGCAGTTCCTTTCTGCATTCCGAAATCAAACCGCTCTACAGCTGTTGATTTGAGATTCTGTGTATCCTTTCGAAAGATAATCCCGCCAAACAATGTGTTATAATCAGGCGTAAGGTCTTGAAGGCAGAGTGGAAACGAAAGGGTCTCAATATTCATGCCGTGAAGCCCCTTAGAGGACTAGACCATCTGCTTCCCTCACAATCTTTGACAGTGAAAAAAGCCTTTAGTACCTTCCTCTGTTCTGAGTGTTTCAAGTCTGCATTCAAAATTTCAAATACTCCGAAGAGGAAGCCGTGAAATCGGAAAGCCAAACGTTTTTCTAGATCTGCTTCGAAGACTCTATCCTGACCGTTCTGCTGAATGTACGACAATGTGATGCCTCCAGCCATGTTAAGAAGCTCGTACGCCAATCCGGGGACAACTTTTGTCTGATGGCGCAGCAACATCACCGATGACAATACAGAAGGCAACGAGATCCTGAAGCTGGAGAACGGCACGTCTCTTCAACCTTTCAGCAGGTTTCACAACTTCGAACAGGTGGGTTTCATTTATGTCAGTGACATCTGAAAGGAAGCGAACTGGACTACTACTGCGTACACCTGGACCAGACTGGCCATCTCTGTAAGTGGAACGAGCAGGTCCGGGAAGACCTGCCTTACACTGCTCAGTTTCTGGATCATGCTCCTGTCTTTTGGCGAAATCACTTTCCCAGTCACACGTTTATCGAAGTGTTCAGCTACAACAATTGGCCACGGTTGAGTCAGATGACTCCTAGAGTTAGATAAAGCAAGGGCGCTTCAAGGTGTTCTTTGGAAATGAACTCACTCTGTTGGCCACCTCAGGCCCAGAGACTCGAGAAGAGGATGCAACTCTCTCTTCCGGACTCTTATTGCTGGCAAATTTGTCGGCTCGTGTGATCTACGTGTGTGACACGCCAGGCGCACACACGTTCTTGTAAATCTGTATTGTAAGGGAAGTCGTTGACAATTCGGATTCTCAAATGGGCCAGAGTTTCCGTACAAGAGCTTACTGCCAAGTGTAACTTGTACGCCAAGGTCTGGTGTTCGTGTACTTCGACAGATCGAAGCTCCAGGTCGGCTTGAAGAGTCGTTTAACAGGCCAAGCTTCCTCTGCTGCTGCAGTAGAGCTCCTCGCATTTCTCAACTCTGCACCACATGTTGAGCTCCCTTGCGTTTCTAGTCTGAATGTGAACGACGACGTCCCGCATGTTTCGAGCCAGATGTTAATGACTTGCCATACTCCACTGAAGCTATCGGGCAATCGCACATACTCTGGCCTTGCTTGCTTCGTTCGGAAGAACGTATGGCTAATTGGACAGCTAATTGGCCACGGACAGCTAATTGGATACACCTTTCGACGGCTACCCAGGACTCTGAATGATGTGACGCTGGCTTGGTCTGAGGTAATGATGTACGCGATGCCAATCGACTGCTGATGAATAGATGTTATATCTGGAAAGTAGACATCAAATTATGCATTCGTGGCTTTCGGATCAAGTTCCTGGTTGGTCGTCTCCCGAGCCGCAGCGACACCACAGATTGCTCAGAGCTAAGGTCTCGAGACCCAACACGAAACGACATGTATTACTACTGGTTTTCTTGTCGTATAAAGAAACAACCTGTGGGGCGGCGAGGCGATCGCTGCTGCAGGTTGACAGCCGACAGTTGCCTGACGATAGTGTGATGTGATTGCGCGGAGGTTTCGACATTCGTCGGGCCTCGGGTTTGAGGTCTTGGCGTTGCTCCAAATGACGCGCAGCTGCGATTCCTGCTGTTTTGAATAAGCGCAAAACGAAGGAACTTGACGTTGACCTGGGCCGCCATCACTACGGAACAAATAAACCTCTAATCTACTGTTTATTAATAGATCCCGACGCCGATCGCTTTAACCGTCCGCTGTCGAATTCCGGAAGCTCATTTTCGTCTCTGAATTTTGGATGGGACCCGGGGAGCTCAGTGAGAAGCGATGAAGGGCGAGCGCAAGCGCTGCGGAGGGAGATGGAGCAGTGGGCAATCGGTCGTGATTCTCTTATTCTCTGTTCTGGCGGTGGCATCCGCTCAAGATTGCACTTTCCCGGTGAGTGCCCTGGATCCATCGTTCCTTATCCACATTATCTGTCAGTATCCTTGAAAGCGGCCACATTCGTAGAACACAAGTTGGTGCTTGAATTGGTGGAATTCCTAGAGAAGTACTCGAGTCAAATGTATGTGGATGAATGTGAATCACAAATGTAGACAGAGAGTATCAGATGTTGTCCATAAGATCGAAGCTCTTCCTTCGTATTCAGTGGTTCGGAATTACAGCGTGGAGATCAGAATTCATGCCTTCCGTCTCTCTGCCCCCACTGGCAGAGTCATACTGATCAATACGGTGAGCCACATTCTTGTACATGCTCTAAAAAAACCAAATAAACTACAATCCTGAAACTAGCTAACCAGCCAGACATCTTTTCCTTCCTCCGTTCCTTTCTTTCCGCTGTCGTACCTTCTCTTTCTTCACAATCTCCCCTGAGTCAGCGCACCGTTCACCTAGGCCTTCGAGAAACTATACAAGTCGTTGGCCCCCGACAGCAGCTTCTGCTAGCAACCACTTCCCTCTGCGATCTTCAGTGCGGCTGTAGGTTAGGTCAGATCTGTACACATACTGTACGTGGCATTTCAGAGACAGAGAAAGAGAACGAGAATGGCATCCTTTTGTACAGATGTGGTTTGCTGCTTGTGGCATCATGCCTTGCCACGCGCGCCCATCAGGCAGTGGACTCGGTGCCATCGTGTAATGCACAGCACACGGTCGCCTTGTTGTGACCTTGGTAAGTGCGGATGGCATCTCCCGTAGACAGCTCCCACAACTTTGCAGTGTGGTCTGACGATGCAGATACCAGGAACGCGCCATCAACCGAGAAGACGCAATCCCAAACCCAGCGAGTGTGGCCCTTCAACACTCTCTCGCAAGTGAACCCGTCTACCTTCCAGATCTTCAGAGTATGATCCGAGCTGCAGGTCGCCAAGTATCGGTTGGGCTCACAAAATTCCGGCGAAAGAAGACACTTGAGGATGTACGAGTTGTGGGCCTTGAGCTTGTGCAGAGGCTCGAAGTTGGTCATCATCTGGCTGCCCCTGAGAAGCCTCCACACGAAGCAGGTGCCAGCATTGTTGGCCGCTACGACCAGCGTTCCATCCCACATGCAAGTGAGCGACCTAATTGGCGTGTCCACCTCCGGCACGAGCTCACAACTGCAGGAATTGGCTGTCAAGTCCCAAACCCTGATGTTGCCATTCTGGTCCCCAGAAATCAGCTCCGTCTGATTGGGATGGAGAACCACTGTATTCACAGCTCCCCTGCTCTCGTACTCCCGTTGGAATCCGGGCGCACGAAGATCCCAAATCTTGACCGTCCCATCCTCCGAGCCCGAGTACATCCACTTGCCATCGCACTGAAATCCCACAGCCGTGACATTGCTGGTGTGCGTGTCGTAATTCAGCACCGGAGTCGGCTGGTTGCTGTTGATTTCGAACAGCCGGATGTGGGGATTGCCCGCCGCTGCCAGATACTGCTTGTCGGGCGTAATCTCGAGCCTGTTCACCTGCGAATCCGTGTACTGAAGAGTCCTATAGCAGCGACCGCTCGTTGCCTCCCAGAAGCGAATCGTGTGGTCGTACGCCGCTGTTGCTAGCACTACTGATGGATGCGGCATTGCCCTTCCCTCCCTGTGCTCGCAATTTCTTCCTCCCTCTCTCCCTGCCTGCTTTTGTTTCGCACGAAGCCAGGCACAACTCGTCTATCGTCACACCTCCCGAAACCTAGGTTTCACACCGCCTGCCAAATCCCGAGCAGAGTAGTCCTGAGAGGGCACTCGATCAGCAGCTACGAGAATCACAGACACCGGCGAGATCGAGAGAAGCAGACGAGAGAAGAGGAATGTCCGAGACAGAATAGCAATGGACAGAGAAGCAATGGAGGGTCGAGAGGAGAGGAGGGGGGCCGTCAGAACCTCGCTCCTTGATGACGATGACGACGATCGCACCTTCACCTTCGAGTTCACCTTCGCAGATGCTCGTCATGAGCGACGAGTACAAGCAAGTGAGCCCTTCCCGACTCTTCCTCCCTTGCACAGCCCCCGGAGAAGCGGAGTAAGCACCGGGATTCGACCCCGCGAACTCTCCAGACCGAACGCCTTAATCTCTATTTTTTTTTAATCCTTTTAATCTTTGATCCTTAATTCGTCCTCTCTGGGCTCTGCAGCATAAGAGTAATTAATTTTGCACGGAGAGAAGGAAGGGCAGGGCAGGGATTTTTGTCGTTTCTGCTCCGCTCGATGCCATGGCTTCGGCTCCTCCTCCTCCTCCTCTTCTTCCTCGTTCACGGACGCGGGATCGATTAGGGAGGGATTCCCCGATCCTCCCAGGCTAGGCTCGACTGCCTCGTCTGAAAAACCCCACCTAACCCCCGGACGAGCCTCGGAGGCTCGGAGCCTGCTCCGGGTGCCGCGCCTCGGCCGTTACGGTCAAGAATCGACGAGGTCTCGGGCGCGGCGCGGGAAGTTGCCGAGGCTGGCGCGGCTCGGATCGATCATCATCTTCGATGGTTCGTTCTTCTGTCCGGGACGATGATGGCCGACGCTTGATCTCTCGATCTCTCTCTCTCGCTCTCGTGAATTCCCGGGTGCCGATTCGGGGGCAGTGGTGTTCGATGAGTCTGGGTTGGACTTTGATTTGGCGTTTGGGACGCACTGGCCTCTGTTACAATCCCCCCAACAGCTGTGAGAATGATGATTCATATCGGCCGTGCGAGCTGGATTCTTGCGCACTTTTTTCGAGCCAGTATTTCGAGGAGAGGTCGGCAACAGTGCGAGCTTTGGCCTCGTGGAAAGCGCAGAGGATCGTTTGCCCCTTATATTTAACCTTGTCCGCGTTGCTCAGGCCAGGAAAGGATCTCAGTGATGAGTACAGATGGCCTTGTGGACAGGATCGAGCTCCTCGGGGCAGATTCTGGCCTTAATCCGCTCGCCGAGAGATGATTAGACTAATCAAATTAAGGCCATCCGTTAAAGTGAAATCAAGGCGCCAAAGCTGTCAATCACCATGTTTTTGGTATGGAGCGGAAGATCTCCTGAGGTTTGAGCTGTCTCTGTTAGCAAGAGGAGGGACTCGAGGCTTACGCGTTGAGATTCACTGTGATTCTACTGTGCTGAAATCCTGACTTTCTTAATCCTATGTGATTATTCAAAGACGTGCACAGCATTTGACTCATGAAAACAAGAGTGGTCACATCTAAGCTCTATAAATCGGTCCCGTCCACAGAAACGGCACATTTACCTCTCTGAAATCCTGGAACGACGGTATACTCAAGTGGCTTCCCAACCGATGATAAGCCACCCGAAAAATTCGGCGTCGAATCAAGCAGAAGCATGTCATCAACACCGCCAAGATTTTAAAGCCAGAGAAGCAGGTCTGATCAAATTAGCAATAACGGTGATTTCCGTACGTGCAATGAGTTTGTATCTGCTCATTGTCCTGTCAGTTAGATGAACGAACAAAATTGCCCTTTTTCGACTCAAAAGAATGCCTTTGATTGAACTGGTAAAGGTTAACGAAGGCTACTGTGAGCTGCCAGTGTTCAAGGAATGTGACAGCAAGTCAAGTACAACGATATGGTCATTCCGATACGTGCATGCAGAAGCCAAGCTCTTTACACCTCAAACGCTGTGGACAAATCTAACATTCGTAGCTTCTCTTGAGGGCTCAATAACTCGAAACAAAAGAACTAGACCAAGTCTCTCTTTCAGCTCTGTGACCGACATCGAGGAATATGCTATGAATTAATGAAAAAAGTATGATTGTTGATCTTGTTGGGACTGATAGAAAAATGTTTGTTGATACAGAAGGATTTTTCACACAGGAGCCCGTCTTCGAAAGCATGGCTTGTAAGCAATGGGAAACCAGAGGTATCGGATAAGTGGGGTGGTGGTAGATCATGGTCCAAAATACATAAAAGTCTAAGTTCCAGAGAGAACTCAAGCGATTGGGACTTCGATAAACCTGAAGAGCGAGCGGAAGTGGTAAGCCATCCGGTTCCGAAATATCGACTCCAGAGTCAGAATAGTATTCAAGAAGGAATATGAAGTTGAATGTACATGGCTAGAATTTCTTTGGTTTCGCAAATTCATCAAGGCAAACAAACAACACTTTATATGGCTCTACTTACCTATCCTACAACGGGAGTTCATGCAAGTTCTGGTATGTCAGTGGGTGTTGATTTTTTCATATGAATGTCAAACTTCGTCGATATCGTCGCCGTTTTCTCAAGAACACTACACTGCCTCGCTGAGCGATGAAAAACCTATGCTGTACGGGTTTCTTATTTCTTCCCTGTTAAGTTTGCGAAGAATCTATGAATAATTGTAATTCTAGGGATGTGTTCTTGTCGAATATCGGAAGTACGTTAACAAGATTCTGTCACAACTATGGACAGAAATGAATCTCAAAATGCATCAAAGCTGTCGCTGATGTTCCCATTAAAAGCTCAGAATTTGTAGAGATGTATGACCTGCGTAAATCGTGTATGCAGTTCCTGAAGTGGGTGTCTACCATCTCCCGCATCCCGTCATCACCACAAAAGATTTCAGTGGCGTACCAGGAGAGACCCTGGTTGAAAAGTGATGGTTCACAGGTCCTGAGTTCTTTTGCTGCTACGGATCTGAGAGATGGTGATACCCTTCTTGATATACCCGTAAGCTGAAAACCTTGAACCTATGATTTATTGTCCATGACGCTTCTTGAAAATTACCCAGTGACCACTGTCTACCCTGCAGTGCTAGTACTTGTCATATTTATGGGAAGCTGCTTCGTTGATGAATATGGACACTAGTTTTATTGCCGATTTGTATATGAATGCCTCAAAAATCTGATGGATCACCGTTCGATTGAAATTATCTTCTTGGGATAACTCCTCACTTTTGTTTGCTTCCGTAAGGTTTAAAAAACCTCAGATGTTTTGCCTGCTGTCTTCACCACCATGTGGTTTAAGTATGCTGTCTACTGGGTAACACACTTTTCTACAATGCAGGTGCAACTATTGATTTCAGATGAATGGGTGGTTGAAGATCCCAAAGGATTACGTGGTGCTCCATGGGAAATCCGTTTGGCTGCAAAGCTCCTACGAGAACGGTATGTTGCGAGCTACGTTAGTACAACACGAATGTGGTCTACCATAAAACTTAAGTTTAGAGTACTAACACCCCGATTTTGTATGTCTGCATCATGTTTATGCTTGTTAGGTTAAAATAAACGTCCGTGTTGAGAAAGGAATAGCTGGATGAGCAGGTTTTGTAGACTGTTTGGGAATTCCCGCTTTTATCTCGAACGTATGATCATCTGTCGTTGCTCTAGTCAGTAAGTGTGCTAGAGACTTCCAGGCTTGTGCTTGAAGGTTGTCGCTGCCTAGAATTCGTCATGCTAGTGAACCTTTCCGGGTCTCATTGGGGCTTCGAATGGGCAACAGGTCTCGAGGTAATAAGTCAAAATGGGCTTCTTACATCAAGCTGCTTCCAACTTTCGTTCCTTTGCCCATATTCTTCTCTGATTTGGTATGTCTCCTGTCTGTTGAATATGTGCTAATCATGTTGTCTTCGAAAACCTTTTGCATAGATGCTCTCAAAAGAGGTAGTTTGTAGCATGCATTACTTGATAAACTTTCAATGGTATGTTTACAATCTAGATATGTCTACAGTGCTTAGCTCAGGTTACAAATAACCACTGCTCGCAGGAAATCAATAATATACAAGACAGTACTATTGTAGACGAAGTTCGAACAATCAGAAAGTATGCCAGAGCAACTTATCAGGCTCTCGATTTTAAGGATATATCGCGGGCGAAGTTTAGTGAATATGGTAATCATCTCCTTGACGTGTGTATTTTGTATAAAATACCAAATTTCTTGAATCTTGAATTGGATTATTTGTTTGTAGCCCGTAATTCGTTTAAATCGCTACTTTGCGTTTATTTGGTCTCTAAGGCCTTTCGATGTGTAATTTGCAGCTTGGGCTCTATCAATAGTTTATAGCTCAGCGTGCCAGGTGGATAAAGTTGCTACTACAGGACGAACCGATAGTGCACATTACCTTCTGCCATTTTTCGGTTCCACCTTCGGGAGTAGGGGTCAAGGTAAAGTTTGCAAGAACTTTCTGCATTTGAGAACGTAGTAATGTTTGTAATCCCTTAACGAAGGTTGAACATTTACATCTGATGTGTGGTTTGCCACATGATTATCTTGGAAATTGATCATCTGATTGTAGATTTCCTGCTGCTAGTTATGGGAGCTTAAATGAATGGTATCATTCCTGATCATCTGATTACTGAACAGTATACGCGAAGTATGAAAATAGGGGTTTGAAACTCTTATCACATGACGTTAAAGGAGGAATGCCCCTTGCTGCTGAGTATGATGCATCGAGCACAATGAGAGATATCTTCATCTTTCGTGGTAAGACATTCCACAGTGAAGCAAATTGCCGTCATGACAGAGTTCCTAAACTTGTTGAGGCTGTATTGCATATGGGGGTTACTGTCAGTTTCTAAATCCGAGGGTAACACCTTGTTCTTTTCATTTGCATGGCAGGCTTTGTTGCAAAAATTAATCATCAGGATAAATTCAGTCTCTTTCATGATATTCAGGTACGCTGTGTACTTATCTTTTCATGCTTCACGCCACAATGTAGGACTTTTTATTACACTAGTAATACAGTAGCTATAACTCGTAAATAGTGGTGACTTAACGTCTTCATCAAACACTCCTTGATGATTGCATATAAGTTTCCGTTGTTTTCACTGATACCTAGACTGGGTAGACCCGGTCGATACTTCACAAGAAGTTCTTTTACACAATGGTCTGTTAATTTCAGTAGAATCTGTGCTCATTTTGTAGGATGCGGTTGATTGGTACTCATCTACTTTTGGTGCCGTAAATAACAATCGATACTTAACATTAAGGATCGCCCGGGACGCAGTAAGGACCCTGACAGCGTATCTTTCGAATCAAGAAACCACATCTTTGGACAGATCAAATGCATCCGAGATGAATTTCTCTATCGGAGCAAATGGATTTGTTGACCACTACATGACCTCCATCTTTGCAACTCTGTCCTATGCTAAGCATGCATTGACCGAAGACATGATCGAGGGAAGAATAACGTCTGTAGGTTTGATAGTTAAGAACGGCACAACACGGTGGGAAAGAATCCTGCAGTCATTAGCTACTGAGACCCTATCTCGATATAGGTGGAATATGATGGATTGTAAGAAACATATAGACTCCTCGCTCGAGTTCGCATTCAAGTCTGCAAAAACTACGATACTGCAGAGGATTCACACCGTATTACAGTCCTTCTCAACTGATCTATCAGAAGATCAATATTTGTTAGATGCTGCTGGCTGGGAGGGCTTAAATAATGTGGAAGATGAGCAGCTAGCCTGCCCGTCATGTCGCTGGCAAACTGAACAATTGAGCTTCTATGACTACCTTGCTCTCCAATACCGGCTTTCAGTAAAAACTTTTCTCTCAGAGATGACGTCTGCAATTTCGTGTGAAGCGAACAAAACGGATGATATGTCGAAATTGGGATTGGGGACTCGTCCTGGCGAGGGGGATAACGGCGCTTTGCAGAGGGTAACTTCTGCAAACTTCTGCTGACTGTTAGATTGCATTCCATGTGAAGTACGAGATGCAAGTTGCAAGGTCGTCTTTTACATACTTTGAAATACCTTTGACAACCACCGTAGTTTTTGGGCTGGTGTGCAGAACATGACTTGACGATCTCCGACAGGTTAACAATCACCGACATCCTGGTTCCACCCCAGGACGAGTTCTCACGTCCTGCTAAAGTTCGGGGACTTGTCGCTTTGGCAGATATCCATCAAGGAGAAACTCTCTCCTCACTTCCTGTAAGCAGTTACTAGTGAATTTCTGCTCTTGATATGTCTTTGTCTTTGTTGATTATCTGTCTTGACCTTCAAGGAGAGTTCGTTTAATATGTTTCGGCTTGTGAGGAATCGTATGTTGCTTCTTATCTGCGGAGATGAGCATAGAAATGGCATCTTTGTAGTCCATTGTTTGGTCATATTTTTGTCAACGTCATCATCTTTTAGTGATAGCTATGCCGGATATGTTGTATATGCTGGTTAATGTATCTGTCCATAGTGTTTGATATGGTTCACACAAATGCAGTTAGGAGTTTTGATTTCACCATCGATTTTACCTCATGTATCACAAGATATTGTCGCAATTTCGGTACTGTATAGCCCTGCTGACAACTCATCATGATGCAGATGACTGTTGGTTTGTTTAACAACGATTCCGTCAGTGGTTCCAGTGCAGTCGATGCCTGGGATTATGCAGCCGCTCGACTGCTTCGTGAAAAGTAAAAAATACTGAACTCCGAAGTTCTTCTAAAAGTCAATATTATCAAATTGCTCCTTTGCTTTGTGAAACTCTGCTGAGTATATTCCAGCTCAGCCAGATTCAGTCCATGTACAGTTTCGGCTGCACCATAATCAGCTTTCTTGTTTACTGCGCCTCGTGGCAGAGTGAAAGGCAACGAGTCAAATTGGGCTCCCTACATTGCAATCCTTCCCGAATATCTTCCGACACCAATTCATCTGGAATCTCGGGTAAGCTTACAAGGTGTGCCCGAATCTTCGATCGGTATAAATACAATAGAGGTCTTTTCTAGATCTACTTCTGAAATTATCTTTTCTATATATACATCTGGAGTGACCTATTCGCTTTTCCATCCACCAGGAACTTTTAGAGGTGCAATGGTGGCCAGTAATAAGAGAGCTCATCCAAGTACGAAAAGCTATCAAGGAAAGCTATACCAAGCTAAGCCCAAACGAATTGTCACTGGCAAGCTACAATGAGTATAGTAAGTTCATGTTCAACCTAAAATACTAACAGCTGTCTCGGGGGAAGCAAGTTCTGTCTTCGTAGACATGATATTTTGAGTAACTGGTGGACACTAAAACGGCAGATTTTGTTTTGATTTTTTACTGCTGTTTGAAAATGCTCCGAGAACTACGTCCAATATGGCATCTCGCAATCAATGAAATGATGAACATTGCCTCATTGAATGTAATATCATTACCTTAATGAATTGATTGACATTACTTTACTGCATGCAGAGTGGGCAGTAACGATGGTGCACAGTCGAGCATTTACTCTTCCTGTGAAACCTGATGAACAATATGAGCAATATGTGTTCATGCCATTCATGGATATGATAAACCATCATTATCATTACAAGGTAAAAACGAATATTCAGATGATTTGTTTACGCTCTTTCTCACATGTGACTTGTGTTGAGAAGAGAACTAGGCTAACATGCAAAACAGGCTGATTGGATGTCCCAGCCTGTTTGGGATGGCAAACTGGAGATCACTGCCAGAAGGACTGTAAAGAAAGGAGAAGAAATATTTGCGTCGTTTGGTCCGCGCACAAATGACAACCTCTTTCTTTACTACGGTACAGTATACTCCAGCTTTTTGTGGTATTCTCTGATGAACAGTTCTCAAGTTTTTCAGTTTTTCAACAGAGTGGACTAAACTGTAAATCTCTCATGTGAAGTCAACTTTACTGGTCGTGTTCCCCCTCTATTTTACCTGGTTAGGATTTGTTGACCTTGGGTTGATTCTTACCTAAGATCTTGTTCCTAAATCTGACTCCTCAGGTTTTGTTCTCGAGGATAACCCATTTGATGCTGTTCCACTTTTTGGATCATTCGAAGTACGTAATCTAAACAATTTCACGTTTTTAACTATTTTGTGATCTTTTTTTCCATATACGCGGACGTAGCTATTCTAATATTCATGTATCTCTATCTTTTACGAGCTTACATGCAACATCCTCATGCGAATAGTACATAAAATTTGTGTACAGTTTTGTGAGGACTTTTGAGATTTGCATATACACCTCTATCTGACTCTAAACTTCTCATTCACAGTCTGTTGGTAGGGTTGACCAGGATAAGAATATAGTAGCAACAGTCGGTGATGAATGAATATTGCTAGGCTGTTGAAGATTTTCTCTTCTAACCAATAAATTGTGTAAGACAGGAAGCTTTGAGGTGGTTTGTAGGACTATGGACGGACAATTGTGCTGATTTTGCTAAGAATCAAGTAAAAGCTTCTCGGTGTCATCGAAAGACCTGGCAAAACTTCTGGAACCGCATGAAGAATCCAGTAGAGGAAGCCGAGAGTGGAAGTGCAGCTCAGGGTAGAGATTGGGGAGAGCTTTTGAACTACTGGGCGGACCTTGGATTTCAGTTTCTACCCTACCAGCCGGGACCTACTATATATCCGGGTGGTATTATCGACCCTAGCTTTTTGGCCGTGTTTTCAAGTTCTTTTGAGGTCCTGGAGACGATGAGGAAGGATGATGGAATTGATTCTCCGTGGTCGGACCCTTGTCCAGAATGCGGTAATCACTCAGCTGTGGGATCATCTGCTATGCACAAGTTTCTCGCATGCATTGAGAAGCAGTCTTCCTTTCCCCGTGGCCTCTTAGACGGTCCAACTTGCCAATCTGAACTAACAAAGGTAGTTCTGAAGGAAGAGAAGCTCACACGAGCCATGCTCTTGGCCAGAATATCAGTTGTGCTTCGATGCAAGGAAATTCTTTCGTCGTTCCCCACCACCATTTCTGAAGATAGGGACCTGCTGAAGGCAGATCCAGATACTTGTACCCAAGAAACATCTGCTTCATGTCAAAATGTGCAAAGTGTTAGTAGTCATTTGCAACTGACTAGACGGTATCGGTACATGAAGAAGTTAATGCTGCAAACTCCAGTTGACAAGCTTCTCAAATGACAATTCGGTAATTTGTACACTATCATTCACTTAATATAGGCTCATCCTGGCGTCTTCAATTATAAAGTGGTCAAGCCAATGAAAGCTTTCTCTGCACCGTCTTAAGAATTTATCCACTAGGTTCTTTATTGTGACCATTATGCCTGCATGTCGTTCCCAAATATATATTACGGACTCAGTTGCTTCTGTCTGCTTCCAGATATTCTTTCTTGATAGAATAAATGCAAGTTGGACACGACATGTCGCGCTGATGAACATTACGTTATTTCATCAAACTTGAAGTCATATTTTCACAGATGATGAGCTTGACGAAAGGTTTTGTACATCAAATCTCGAAATTGCTGTAAAGTTTTTACGGAGGATTATGAAGTGTTCAGTCTTCTCAGAACTTCTCAAGCTCTAGTCACTTATATGTCCTATATACGCCCGTAGAACATAGATCCGAGCCCTGGCTTGGTGGTTGTAGTATGACAGACACAGCGAGTGCAAAAGATGGAGTAGGAGGAAAACTGCAGAGGAGTATTTGAGAATATGGATGGAAATTCTGTTTTTCCTATGCAGTGGACCAGGCAAGAGAAGGTGATGTTTATTCGATAAAGCTGAACTTTTATGTCTCAAACTTGCCATGTGTGATGGAATATGAGCCGAAGAATAAGTCCGTTAATAAGTCAGTTCAAGGAAAGGCTCATCCAAATCAATCGACATTTCCGTACTTCAGCTCTTGAAGTCTTTAGATATGTTTTAATTATCCACCTGAAGTTCTCTATCGAACAGGGCTATTTAGGGAAACGATCAAACTTAGAGTAGCACTGAATCCTATATCATTCTCATGGTGATGGAGAATGTAATGGACCTATTATCCGATTCATCTTTGATACTTTCATGAAAATCAACATCTTACAAATTTAATTCTTTGGTGTTGACTTTGAAAAATGAAAAATTAAAAAAGTATCTTACTCCAGCACCTGTTTTAGCTGCATTATGTTTTGAGATTCATTCATGTAATTATTTCCTCTAAAGGCTTATACTCATCAAACAATATATTCCTGCTCCTAACTGTTCTTCGGGCAGTCGAGTTGAACATAATTCACCGTTCAGTCCTTCACAACTAATGAAGTTTATTCTGTAAGTTTTCGCTGCTTTTCCCTTGCTCCTTTGGTATGTGAGTTCAATTTGGACATCCACACGCTGTCAGCATGGTAGGAATCTTTTCTTTCTCTATCCACTCTTCCTCTGGTGTAATGCCCTTTAATACTGGAGTAGGACTTTTGTTCCTCATGAAGTAAGCATTCCTAAACTTCATCTTGAGATTAGCTTTAGAAAGCTAATCTCTGTCTTCTAGATTAGCTTCTCTAAAGCTGATGTAGAAGACAGAGTACTTTGATTGGTCTAAGCTCATTAAGCAAATCATTCGTCAATCCATCAATCACTCGTGGAGATGGAAACGACTCTCTGGGTTGTTACAAAGCATTCAAGGAAGTACGCGAGGAGGACTCGGCAGATAAGAGCCACATAATCACGATAGACGGCGAACACGACCTGGCTGGGAGTACTTCATTGGACTTAAAGGTGTTTTACAGCTATTCCCAGTCGGGTTGTTGTCAGAGTCCAGTGTTTCACAAGCATGTTCCTAGTCGACAACTTCTTCCTCGCTAGTTGCTACAGGCAGCCTCTCTATCAGTGAATCTGCAAGTTCCATGCTAGCTGCTAGATCTTTATCAAAACATCAGTGCCCAGGTGGAAGAAGTAGTTCGTGTGCGCTTCACAAAGTCTCCTCACCGTTTCTTCCTTCAGGTTCTCAGTTGCACCAATCTGAAGATATCAAACTGATCTTACTTGCACCAGCACGTGCATCTCGTTGAGGTATTTAATGTGTAATTGAATCCAGAGCTCCCTGTATAAACGACCATCGCTACCTTCACCCACGATCTCTCCTCTTCGCATGCGTGAGACGTGCGAAGAGGAGAGATCCATATGAAGAGAATCAGGATGTGATCCATATGAGCCGATCACATGGATCACATCCTGATTCTCTTCATTTCCTTTTCGGGAGTAATGTGCTGCCCTCAGTGAATCTTCTTTTAATGCCTTCAAAGAGTCCGTCCCATATACTTCGAGAAGCTACAGAATGGAAAGAATGATTTACGCCAATAGAGATTCCGTTCGGAGATTTGCCCAATATTCCATGCAGTATATTACTCCCATCTTCCAAAAATATTCTAGAAGAGAGCTAGAGGATATATCCTACTCTATATTCTTTGAGGAGCTATATTAACAATGTCGTGGCCTGTTGGATCCGTAATATTAAACCTTCGATGATTCTGCAAGTAAAGGTGGTACATCCTGATTCATGGAGTCTAATTTTGCTGTTATGAGCTTTCCATATGTAAGTGACCACAAGCCGGAAATTGCCAGGAGACCGCCGATGATCCTGAATCAGAAACGTTCCAGATTGCAACATTCCAGATGTGATCAGATTTCGTCGAGATCCGTCCTTCAACCGAACAATCACCAAATTCTCTCCAGAAACAGCTTTAACAAAGTTTGAGAGAGCATGAGAAAGCATCACAGATACACATCCTTTACTGGCCCGTGGGGTCCGAATCCTCTGAACGACGATGAACATTCTCTGTTCTAAATCGGACAAGGACTTCTGAACAGATAGCTTTTGACTGCAAATCGTACAAAAGGTGGCAATATGTGACAGAGGACTCACTGATTAACGAAAATCGTGTTACTCAAAAACAGGTAAGACGCAAAGGTCGTGAGCACCGTTTGAAGAGGGAAGTATGACGCATTTATCAGCGGTCCAGCCTTCTGTGTGGTCCACGTGCCCAAACCCATGGTCAACGTTGACAATATACTGCCCTGCGTTCAGATTTACACGCACTTCTCAGCCCATGCAAATTGAGAGTCTTGGCAAGCTCGATCTCGAAACATTTAGCCGAACTGCTGCAAATTCGGGAACCAATCCACAAAATTGGATCCATACCTGGTAAAGAATGGCGAGAATATCATATGGCTCTGTGACGATCCATTCTGAAGGCGGAATTGTGAGAAGAGCTGTTGTGCCCAGCATGATTGCCCCGATGATATACGCATATGCACCGATACTAAAAGGACACGGGTACAGCCTCAGAAGAGGAACCTGCAGTGACGCTGGAGCTCATCACCATTCAGACTCAAAGACTGACGTAACGACGACCTTCAGTCCTGAGAGAAAGTGTCCTTCGGGTGAAGGGATCAGTGAGGTTCAGCTTCGATTCATGTGCCGTAGCCTTTGGGACGTCTGCAATCTGCTTATCGCATGCAAGCTCTCAAAATCTACAACGCTCGTGCAGTCAGCTCAAAAATGATTTTTTCGTCTCGACCATCTCGGCATGATTTCTGAGCACAGCTGTTTCAAAGTCATGGGACTAAACTGCTCGGCCCGTGGATGAAGAAGGCTTGGCTCGTATCGAACATAGTAATGGATGATCGACAATCAGCTTCTGAAGATCCGAGCAGCTTACCTTCATGTTGGCGTAAATCCCGAGACTGAGAGCACCGAGGGCTGTTAAAAGCACACCCTCTCCATTGGGTGATAATCCGAGTGAAGGATTTCCGAGATTGCTACCTCGCAAGGGTCTAAGGGCAGGGGGACCTTTAAAGCAATAGATGGAGATCATGCCCAGTGCACTCAATGCAAATCCGAAGATCTTGAACCATCCATCCTTTCTCCTCCACTCCAGACTCTCAGTTCTGCGAGAGGGCATTCAACGTCACAGGTGAGCGAATCGATCACCAAATTTCACCGGACTTATGTATGCATTTATCACTCGGCCCCATTAGCCCAGGGGCTTTATTTCTTTCACGTCTAGACTTCCATGGCTAGATATTCGTCTGTCATGCTCGGAGCCTCACCCGAATGTCATTGCAATCCCGAATACAAACATCGGGATGAGGGTTGTGGTGAGGGCATAGTCCGCAGGAATTGCCAGAGACAGACCCATGAGACACAGCAACTGACCTGCGAACACACTGAGAGCAGTGAACGAAAGTGGAATCAGAATTTTTTGCGCTGACGGAAAACTCCAGATTAATTGAGACGCGAATTCTGGGCCTAGCGATGTCATGAATGGCTTATGTCATTGCCCGTGAACAACTCATGGAGTTGAGTTTAGTGACAGACCCGGTGAAAGCGCAGGCTACGAAAAAGCCTGCAATTTTCCACGTGACAGGGGGCTGGGTCTTCCTGTCGAGCACAGCACACGAATCAGAATACATTCTTGCTCAATTTGGCAGCCACAAGCGCAATTTTAAACACTTCATCTTCGGTGAGATGATGCGGTCTATGGTTTCCACCTTTCGAGGAAGTACGCCAGGGGCACCAGGAAGAGACAGGCCAGCACGTCGCGGTAGACGGAGAAAACCACCGTGTTCACGTGCTGATCAGAAACAGAACGCTTGACCAATATGGTGCTCACTGTAAATGCCACGTCCGTCGATATCGTCGCCAGATGCACCAGCAGCAAATTTGTAGCTGCCTTTTCTTTCCCCGATGCTGCAAGCACGGGTGCCTTTCCGATCAGCGGAACTGCCAGTGAATCTCCGAGCTCCATACTTGCCACTCGAACAGCTGATGATTCAGAAGCTCTCTCTCCTGGACGTAGTCTTCAGTTCATGCCTCCCTGCCCTGGTAAGTCAATTTCTCGTCACATCAAGTCAATCAGTCAATTTCTCGACAGATCTTCGAAGAATTCGTCAGAGTCAGATTCATGCATCAAGCAGGCATCAGATCAAGCTTCAATCGAGCGGAAACTCACCACGCGAGAGTCAGAGTGAGAGTGAGTCGAACGTCCTCGCCGAGAACTGTCCGAACTCCTCAGTCCCTGCTCACGACCAAAGTCTGCAGTGCAGAGATTTTCAGCCCTTCTTCAATCTGATTTTCGCCTTTACTTCGAACTCCATAGTCCAGAACCATGGAAGGTTCACATGGGCCCATAACCGCAGTTCTCGAGGAGGGCACCCCGTTGTCGGTGAATATTACGCACGGAGGGCTGGTTGGAATCTACTCATGGCAACCCGACTTCGTCTGCAGTTGAGGATGCGAATGGATCTGAGGCCAGCGGTTGGAACAATCCAGATCACGACAGGAAAGCGCAATGTTCGTGGACTCGAAGTTCGCAACGGAATCTCTTATGAATAAAATATGGCTGCGCTGAATCGATGATTCGTGGTTCCTTGTATTGCACTCACCGCCATAGCCCAGAAGACCTATTGCCACCTTTATTTAATATTTTTTTCAAGAATTCTCGATTAAAGCCGAAGAGCTTCACCGAAACATAACTTGTTAGTTACGAATGAGTTGATAATTTCTCATTTATAACACATAATGTTTTTAAAATTTCAGTTTATTGTGATTTTTACTCAGCTTTGTATTCTAGTTATATACAATAGAATCCTCTCTTTGAAAGATTGTAAACTAACAAGTTTATTTTTCCAAATCATTCAAGTTTATTCCAAACCAATTTCACTTCTTAATTTACGTTGAGTATCATTTTTATTTGTAATAAGGAATTTTAAGATAATCCATTATACTTTTATCATTTCATTTAAACTGAGAAGTTAGTTCATAATTTAGTGTTTATCTAATGCTGCCCAATTAATCAAATTATGCGCAAATTTCTAGGTAGTCTCCGTTCACTAATTACAATTAGTTTTTCTTCGTAAAACGGTCCAAAGTGGGCAGACAGAAAAGAGCAACGCCTTTATCACGTTTCCTTTCATACTCACCACCGACTGCAGCACGGAGATCGTCACGAGGCGCACAGTAAATCTCAGGACCAGAGTTCTGGTAGCCATGGACCCCGGACCTGCCGGAACACAGCATGTTTCCTTTCGGACATAATGCCGGGTGGTTCAGATTTCTGACATCCAGAGGCATGCCGAGGATTATCAGACTTAATGCTCACTCTTCTGATTCCAACCACAATATTCTTCTGTCACAACAGTAAGGATGATACCATCATCGAATTTCGTCCAAATTATAATAGAGAATAACGAAAGTCGATTCAAGCGTCCAGAACGCCCAGAAATATTTTCAATGCACATCACGCGCTCTGTTCGATTGAAACTGTTTCTTCGGCCCAGCGCATCGGAATCGTGACAAGGAGGTTTCGAGCCATCCTTACCTCGAGACACAGAGATCAGGGCGTCAAACTAGTCATGAGTGAAGCACAGGTGTGACAACTCATAAGCAGATAGCTAGCACAGGTTTTCTCATAGCTAAGGGCAATCAGAAATATATTTGCAGGTAAAATCTACGATCTTTGGTAAATGCAATCGGGTCCGTCCGACGTGCGTGCGTATCCCATACAGGACGAACATGGATCCTTCGACTGTCAGCCGGAGAACATCCAGAATGCTAGACAACGACCTTGCCACTTTCTAGCACAGCATCTAGAGTAATCTATGAATCAGACTTGAAAGCTCACCGATCCTACCTACAGCTAGTGGTAGTTCACTCGTCGTTTAATATCATGTCACGTTTTATAGCTCTCTTATTCTCACAGACTTCTGAGAGTACTTGAACCTGACTGCCCTCTGAATTGATTATCTTAGTACGTCGCGACTATCGGGATTCTGATTTCACTCTGTTTATCAGGTGGAGGTAGACAGTCTCAGACGGATTGACCTTTAATGGTGAAACAGTGGATTTCTCACTTGCTGGATGGCTGAGATGATTGCTCTTCACGTCCAAGGACTGATGCTCAGGTGGTCCAACAGTCCAACAGTCACGGGTGTTATTACGCTTCAACTCCTCGTCTTTACCACAGTTGTCGCTCATAGCACCATGCTCCAAGATCTCGGAGAGATTTTCAGTAATAATCAAGAATAATCTGCTCCGCCATGTCCTTGTCAGAGGAGAATAACTCTGGACTCTCCGACTGGTCAAGCACATCGCCCGTCGTTATGAAGACATTCATTCTCTCTTTTTCTTTTAACCGTCCGACGGAGAACATGCGAAGAGAGCCATTTGTAACTTTTCTCGACAGGCGACGTGCTTCGAAGTAGCTGTAGGCATCAGACTGTAATCATTAGCACAGAAAGACGAATCAATGATATAATTAACCTCCCCGTCGATAGATGTAATGAAATGGAAACCTTATGGGCGGCAGTGGATATGGTTCATTTTTGTGATGGTGAGAGCTATTAGAAATCCTGCTCAAATCAAGCCCTCGTCAGCGAGGCTAGTGATGTTTGAATTGTATCCCACCAGCATGCAAGTATTTGGTGCAGATCGGTCAGGATCGTCCTCATTTGTTCTTACGGGATTGAAGTTATGAAAACGTGCGCTAACATGGATGGTTTTACCATCTGGCATAACCATCCATGTTACCTTGAGAAAGAAAGGTGCTGGTTTTGTTGACTCTGTGTTCGTCTTCTGTGTTCCAGTCAATTGCAGATTCAGAAGCGCATCTTCCTTGTCTCGAATTGTGCCAAGATAGTTGCCAAAATTGTGTCCATCGTGGGAGGGAACTGTTTGCTGCGATGATAGTGGCCATATTCAGGGTGAGATAAACTTCCCTCTCCAGAAAAAATAAAGAAACAAGGGGACATCTGTCGCTCGTAGCTGTCTGGCGATTGGAAGATGATGTCTGAATGAATGAAGCAAGCAGATTTGTAAAATCATAGAAATACGAAAATACGAAAAGACTGATCTTAGACAGAGTGATGCAGAGACAGAAGCATGGCAGTCAAGAGGTTGTAGCCTGTGCTTCAATCGGAACAAAGTGGTCGGAGAACTGCAGGCATCAAGTTCTGCTCGGTGCCAACTCTGCTGAGCACCACGTGCTGGCTGACGACTGTGTCACGACGGTGGATGCCCATCGGGGAACGTGGACTTCGGAAAGAGCTTTCTCAGCTTTCACTTTCCAAGAGCAGCTGCACCATAGACCCCAAAGACCCTAAGCTGAGGAGCGCGAGCGTCCCAATGATTAAAACTGGAGAAAAAAAAAATTATATTTTGTCACTGTGGAGTACCATTCGTACCCGATATGAGTACCTAGTGTCCAAGTCGTAACCAAGGCCCTAAAAGTATTACATATAAAATATATATTTTGGCAAATGAGCTCCATCGATCTTTTGGGCAAAAACATATAAATATAGCCTATAGTGCTATATATATTCGTCTTTTATAGATCTCTAAAAGAGGTGTTCGGTGTTGGTCTTTAGCGATCACGATTGCCAACGACCTCGTTCGCTTGGACCAGTAAACGAAATATACCGATGAATGAAAGACTTTGTTTTCTGAGCGCCTTCCTTTTGAAACTTTTCGTAGACATGAAACTTCCAGTTTACGCCCCCGAAGCTATTACGTTTTTCCGGTCTCGGTGCTTTGCCCATCAGAATCTGCTCTTTGCAGTTGCTCCTGACTCAAATGGCCATATTTAGCTCGAGAGCTCGTATTGATGTTGTATGTATCGAGGTATTGAGCAGGTTTTAGTGAGAGATTGCAGATTTGTGTAATCATTTTCACTGGACGTTTCATGGACTAAACGCTATTTATGTTTCCGTTCGTATTTTATTATGAGAGGCGCTCAATACTTGAACAAATTCACTTTGCTTTGATGCTTTATTTTGAATCCTTACTTGACTAATCATTGTTCTAGTAGGTCATTGTATTTTACAGCACATTTAGAAACACTTTGCATATTCCACCAGTAATCCCGCCAAGTGATACAAAAGGATATTTTACAAATTTGATCACGAATACAGCATCAGATATAGTATGATACACCAATTGATTAGAATGTTTAAAATTTGAGAATGAAACATAATTACATAGTGAGGTTTATTCTCTACAAAGAATCTTCAGGAAACTATGAGATATAAAATTTTGACGCCACCTTTTATATTACTTAATGGATCTAAAATGTGACAAATTTTTTACTTTCAAACGTTCAGATTCTTAAAATGATCTTGATAACTATTGTATAAATTTCACTTTCAAATTACCTTCTAATCTATAAATAGTCATTATAAATTAACTCGGATTATCTAATTATATCTTGAATCATTGTGAACATTCATATAACCCACACATGATGCGATCCTTGTAGCACAAAGAATTTGCCGTCGTTTCATTCATTTAGAACCCTATCTGTATATGAATGAGAAACCGACATGTCTGTTCTAAGTCCATGGCACCTGCGAATAAGACCTCATCCATCGTGTATAATGTCTACAATATATTGCATATTGAGTTGGGAAAGGTCTAGAAAATAGCAGACCCTGTCTAATTTCTAATGGAAAATAAGCCTTTGGAAACTATCATGCAGAGCAGGCCTAGCTAGACCAGGTCTACGAGACTTCAGAGGCGACTTATCAGAGAATTCACATCTGCGGCTGAAGATGAGGCATGCACTGAAATTCTTATATATTCAGTTGAGTTTAGATCTTGATTAGAGATTCTTCAGCTGCTACTGCACTTTTTGTTTGTATGATATTCATTACAACTATAGTGATTCATCCTTACTGGTTATGACCCTCTGTAAAGTGCATCGTTTCATGACATAGAACCGAATCTAGGAACGCGTTCCGAGTCTTTTATCCTCATGGATAGAGAGATACTGTGTATGAATTCTTATCATATCAAGAAGAAAATAGATAGGCTATACGAGTGTACTGCTATGGCAGCAGTAGGAGGCTCGAGAATAGTCCCCACTTTGAACTTCCTGGCTGGTACTTATCGAACCATGTAACAATATCTGATCGTTGAGATGTCAACGATGTTCCTGAGACACTGACGAAACTTGGAGCTGACATTCCTTTCTTCTCGACAATATGATCATGAGGATGGTACAATCAAATTTATGTTCGTGAATTTCACTGATGAAGTAGATCAAAACAAATCAATTCTTCAGATATAAAACAAAGTTTCAGAACATTGACCATCAGTGAAAATCCGAAGTAGATGGAATATTTAATTCAGCAGTTCCAGGGGCAGGAACCGGGTCTGACGATAACAGCGATAGATTGATCATTTGAATGACTGGCATTGCACAGAAAAACGGCGTAATCCTCTTCTCGCAGATCGAGCACCACGCCAGGGGCCACGGCGTTTTCTATGTCTATCTCACCTGAACTGCAGGCGAGACTGTTCCCGGTCTTAAAGGGCTTCGTGGATTCAGGAGATGAGAATTATTCCATTTGAGAGAATTGAGGAATAAATTCATTTGGACTTCATCCCTTTTTCTTCCTACACTGAAGGATTAGATACCAGCGACTAGTACGAAGATGGTAGTCGTCTGGTAAAGCTATGAATTGACATGCAAGTGGCCCTCCCAGACGAAATCTTTTGGTTACCTGTTGTCATCAGAGCAGACTTGATTGCTGCAGGAATCCAGGTTGTACTCTTCGTCTTGAAATCTATGGGTGCATGAGGGCAGGCCATAGATGTGCCTGAATCAAACTTGTACTTGGTATGATTTGGAGTTCCCTGGGCCTCATTACAAGCAGCCACGATGTGCACTCCTGGTGCTATCAGATCTGGATGGAAAATACATAAACATTTTAGCGTCAACAAACGAAACATTAACTCAGCACACTTTCACCAAATAGTGACACTGTGACCGATACCTAGTGCTGAATAAGAAAAGCAAAACTTATTTCATATTTCGGAGGATTTCATACTTATTCGTACATCATTCCAGATGAATAAACAAACGAAGCAAATTGTGGTAATCAAGATATAAAGTGTGATAACACTGGGCCCATGAGATGAACAGGGGCCCACGATATGGCTAAATCTTTCTCTGAAGACAGTCTTTGGCGTCGCCGTTGGCATGCTGCTTCATGACTTCCACCGTGTTGGGGGAAGCCATAGCAGATGAACAGAACCGAGTTGTGGAGTACAGAAAAGGAATGTGGTCGTGATTATTGGAATACGCCAAGAATCGATGTGAGCTTTGATTCATATATTGCAAGCCATGCTGGTCCGTGTATTCTCAGATTCTATGCGTGGGTATTCACTCCTTGACGAGTAATAGTAATTATCCTCTGCATATACAAATAATCTCTATCACGTCATTATACATACAGGATAAACCCTAAACCCTAAACATTCGGCATATACAAAGAATTTCTATCACATACAGTATAATCTCCATACAAATACATACATTTTCCATTTCTGCTGCCAGTTTGGAGGAGATGCCAGGCTCTGGTATGGAAAGATGAAACAGCCTCAAATGGAAAAAGTCGGTGAGGTCTTCACTCGCGATGATTGCACCAAATGATATGCAATATTCTTTAAAGGCGAAACTGGCAGCTGCTCCCCGAGGCTGATGTTCTTTCAAAGAGTCAGCATGGCAAAATCTGCATAAGAATAATTTTAAATAAAATAACAATAAAATATAGTTTACCATTTATACACAAAATACAGATAAATTAATTCTGTCTCTCAATATATATTATTTTACTCTACTAGCATTTCTTTATGTCTTAGTGTGACTTACAAAAACTTTAAAACGAGTACATAATATTTGAATAAATCCAAAGAAACAATTCATTATTTGCAATTCATTATTATTCATATTCTTCATATCAAAGAATTAATATTTCCAATTCATAAATGAATTGTCATGTCAAATTCATTTTGAGATTTTCTAGATCAATAAATTGAGATTTATGTAAGTAATCTATATAGCGTAAAAATAAGTGAAAGAAAAATTCATTCCATCATTATTACTATCCCAACTCAATATGATGTTTCATACTCAAACATATTACTTACATTAGTAGTCACTTGTTTTTCTAAGTTGCTCACTAGGTAGATAATTAGATTTTAGACAGTTTCTAAGAATTTCTTCATGTTACGTGAAATCTGCTTTTTGAATGGACATTGTTTAGAGTGTTGCACATTTTGATTTGGAGCAAATTATCCTAATGAAAAAAGTAGGTGTTTAGGACCTCACTGGCTTTGTGCTTCACGCTTCCATACCTTTCATGATCCAAATTTTCTTTTCATTTAACAAATTTTTAAAACAGACATCAATTGCACGAACTGTTCATTCATTTAGATCCATTGAACCGAAGCTAACAGCCCATGCGAATTAGGTACAATCTCAGTTCTGAGTACTAAAACTGTTCTAACTCTTCGCAACTACCTCTCTAGGGTTGCCCCTATATGAATCTACTTACCTGTAATATGCACATTCTCTTTACCCAAATCTACAAATGGCTCGCTTTAATGTGCACGGTTCTCTCAGTAATGCTAATTGCTTGAAGATAAAGCTCAAGGCACTTCATGAGTCAGCTATTCTATTCCTGGTTGCTTGGGCATGATGTCAACCAGCCCATCCATCTATCACATGTTCTATTCCAGTCCCTACTGCTTCGGCAGAATCATGACACCATCCATGCATTCCTTGTCCTCGGCATGATCACAACACCATCCAACCACAAACCGCGTTTCCAAGTATAGTGTCTCCGATTATGGACAAAACTGTAATCCAATTTAACTCGACCCATTCCGGAGTGTTCTTCCCCCTCTTCTACAGTAAAATCTCCAACATAATACGTGTTCCAGTGAGAGTCTCCCTCTTCTCCAGTAAAATCTCCAGAATAATAATCTCCAGAATAATACTCGTTCCAGTCAATGTCTCGTTCTTCTTGATCTTCTTCATCGGATGAAAGCGTAGCTTCTGATAAAGATTGGAGATCTGGAAAAAAACCGTATGACTTAACAGTAACATGATCATTGACTGACATCGCAAACTCAACTGGCAGTTTATTCCGGGCTCGATTAAACGCATACGACGTATCATCCAAAGCAAACCTCCACTCGAGAGTGTACGTGCCGACTGGTAGGGAACACTCCATGCTCCCCTTAACATTCAAAGCGCAGCTAGCGTTGAGATACGCCGATTTGTCGTAACTGCATTGTAATAAATTTCAGTCAGTCCAAACCTCATTCGCCCAAAAAAGCCTCCCGTTCAGGCCAACTCATCAAACTGGATGGGTGCTGACAAACTTCCTCTGCTCGGATCACACATCTTGGCTTGAACTATCGTGATACATGGTGGTTCAATCTTGAATAGGATTGTACAATGTCCTATGATTTACGATGTTGGATGCAGAACGTACGAACAGAGTTCAATTTAAAATGGTGTGCGTTGTTCTTTACTATGTGGGAAAACTGAAACTTGGACAAATATTCAAGGATCCATTGATTTCAAGTGGGAGACTTTGGGCCCACAATCACTTGAACTTTGTTCACTCAAAGTTCAATCGCAAGTTTACCTGGAACCACCTCGCTGAAGCCAATCCCATTGTTCTCCATCAGAACCCAAGTCCAGGGCTTCAGCGCCTTGACCTCGACAAACTCCTGCAGGCGACTCCAATAGCCGATACAACTGAACAAAATATCAGAATGATATTGTTAGTTCCTTGAGACATGGCAAAATTGCACACAGTAAGAATAAGACGACAAGCTTATCAGCATCTCCATTCGATTCCGAGTAGAAATGCACGAGATATCGAGAAAGACGAGATGCCTTGCTAAGTCAAACAAAGAATTGAGGCAGAGATCAAACAAACACTAAAATATTACAGTTTTAACCAATCAGCGGCAATATTGACGGTTTGTCAACAAAGACAAATCAATAACTCTCGGCATTCACAAAGAAAGTTCAGAACAGAATTGTAATTGTGAGGATGTAGGCATATTAGTGAGTGATGAGTGCTGCACTGAAGCAACATCAGGCGGTGTGATGAAACCCTACTACAAAATTCCCAATAGTACAAGATGAACTTGGTACAAATTATCTACATAAAAAACCACCTTCACAGATACAGCTATCAGAGACCATAAGGGAAAAGTGAAGAGGTTTTTACTGTAGTAAAGTTAATTACTTGTGTTAATTAACACTTCTGCTCACCACAATTAGCAATATCAAATAATATTGAAACAAAAGTAAAGACGATTTTCCAATTATACGTTGGACTGGGAGAGGAATTCAACCTCGTGACCATGAAGAAGGATTGTGCTGCAGAGATAATCGAAGATTTGTTTTTTAGAATCAAAGGCGCGTGCACCGTCCTTTGCCTTTGCTAGAACTTCAGTATAATCTTTCGGCAACTTGGCTTGCCAGACAGCATCCGAAAGAGATGCACCTCGGAACGCGCGATTAGTGCAAGCCGATATGGCTATGTCTTTGGTAGAAAGGAAGCAGAGGACATGTGCTATACAGGACTCGGGCAAATCTTCAATTCCAGTGTCACCCAATTGCAAGTCGCAAGCTCCCTGATCAGACTTGAGTTCACTTGGAGCACAGGTGCTCATAGGCTTCATGACCCCGTCCATCAGTCTCCTCGTCGGTGTTCTCCAACAACAATCTCACAGAATCTCTTGGTCAAAAGTGATGAAGATTGTCTATTTCCACAAGATCAAGTTCGCGAATGGCTCCTTATACTAGTCAAGTACATTACCTCCTAATATCTATGAGGAAAATAATCAAAATCTAATATTACGTGGGAGGTTTGTAGTGTTGGGAACTCAGATCCGCAACTTTAAATTTCTGCACTTCATTAAGCAGTGTGAATCTGTCCTTGCTATTGACCCATGACTAGGTCGGAATGAGACGTAAAACAGCAAATCCTACCTCCTGTAGAAAGGAAATAAGAAAAAGTTAGCAAATTGGAATTCATGCTTGCTGGCTAGAACTCAAGATATACTACACATCTACAAAAGGCACCGTCAGGAGAATCTTCACCGTTAGGTAATGTAAAGATCTGTAAAGGTAATGTAATGTAATGTAACGGTGAAGATTCTCCTGACCGTTAGGTCTTTACATTACCTGTGACTTTTCCTCATCCCATAGTCATGTCAACCGGAGCATCTCGGCCAGCTCTCATGATCTCTTATGACATCTAGAATTTCTTCCCATCGAGCTGGTCTTGCTGAAAGACATGTGACGTTACCACTTAATACAAACCAAAATTCTGGGTCTGTGCTACCAATGTCCAAGTCATTATTCCACTTCCCAAGACAATTGCGATCGTAAACTTATATACCCAGACAAAAGATTCTCCGTACTGAAGCACAGTTCCTAGAACAAGGACAAAGCGGTTGACAAGCCACAGTGATGCAAAAGGGAAGCTGCAGAGGGTGAGTGGTGTGAAATTTGCAAAAGAACTTCATAGCAGGGATCAAAGTTGACAAGAGACACGTGTAAGACAGTCTTTGGCGTCGCCGTTGGCATGCTGCTTCATGACTTCCACCGTGATTGGTGGAAGCCATGAAGCCATGCTGGTCCGTATATTCTCAGATTCTATGCGTGGGTATTCACTACTTGACGAGTAATAGTAATTATCCTGTGCATATACAAAGAATCTCTATCACGTCATTATACATACAGCATAAACCCTAAACATTCCGCAAATACAAAGAATCTCTATCATGTCATTATATATACAGTTGAAACCCTAAATCCTAAACATTCCGTACATACAAAGAACCTCTATCACGTCATTATATATACAGTTGAAACGCAAAACCCTAAATATTCCGTATATACAAAGAATCTCTATCACATACAGTATAATCTCTATACATATACATACATTTTCCATTTCTGCTGCCACTTCGGAGGAGATGCCAGGTTCTAGTATGGAAAAATGAAACAGCCTCAAATAGAAGAAGTCGGTGAGGTCTTCACTCGCGATGATTGCACCAAATGATATGCAATATTCTTTAAAGGCGAAACTTGCAGCTGCACCATGAGGCTTATGTCCTTTTAAAGATTCAGGATGGCAAAATCTGCACACGAAAATGAGGACTTTGTTGTTCAGTGTTAGATAATCTTTGTTGTCTTCTAGTTTAGTATAATCTCTCTGTAGTTACAGGTAGCAACTGTTATTAGGATAGTGCTCTATGTCTCCTTGTACACGCGTAGTGTAGTTAGGTGGTTCAAACTCCTGCGTGGAGTTCATGCTGTGAGAGTAAGTCCGAGTACTAGGGCATGGTACCTACGTGTTCATTATGACTAGTAAGTGCGTGTCAAGCACTCAGGTTAATGTTATTAGTATATAAACCCCACTTCATATGAAAAGGCAGCAAGTCATTTTGCACCACAATCAGTTCGCATGAGTTGTGTTACTCTTGTGTATGTTCTCTCTCTTCTGTTGCACAGGTTACAACAGAGCAGGTTTGTCTGTGCCTTGTGTGATTGTGGTAATCCACTTTTTGTTTTTCGTCATAACTAAAACATTTTTGAATAGTAAGTACCGCGGTAGGAGCAGGTTTGTCTGTGCCTTGTGTGACTGTGGTAATCCACTTTTTGTTTTTTGACATAACTAAAAAAATTTTGAATAGTAAGTACCGCGGTAGCAGCTGTAAATAATAATCGGTACGCGAAACCAAAGTAAAAAGAGTATCGAGTACAGTCAAGGGGTTTTGGGCTTAGGCCAAAACTTGGAACGCTTGGGATGGAACCGGCGGTTCATGCTGCAAGACCCGCTTCGAGCACCTTCGGCGGAAGAGTGGATCCCTCATAACTTTCTCAATTCATAACGCTTTGACTTGGTTAGGGTCTCGTTGGAAAGAGCTCGACACGCTCGTTCTAACAAGCCCAAGAACTCTTGAAACGGTTCAAGGATCATTGAGTTATGAGTGTCAAAAATGCCTTCAGCGGAAGATTGCTTTCAGCGACGGACGCCTTCGGGGATACGCCTTCGGCAATGCGGGAGAGTGCCTTCGGCAGAAGACTAGATTCCTCATAACTTTCTCAATTCGAAACGCCTTGACTTAGTTCGGGTCTCGTTGGAAAGAGCTCGACGCGCTTGTTCTAACCAACGCAAGAATTGTTAAACGGATTAGGGATCATTGAGTTATGAGTGTCGGAAGTTACTGATAGGGAGGGCCTTCGGCGGTTGAGCGCCTTCGGCGACGGACGCCTTTGGGGATACGCCTTTGGCGGTACGCCTTCGGCGCCACGTGGTAGAAGATTCCCGATGGCAGAAATTGACGGGATTATGTCAAGTGTGGGAAGCATAAAAGCGGGGCGTGAAGTCGCACGTGGGAAGCAGGCCGTTACCCATAATCGCGGGAACGGCATTCAAGCCGCCTGTGGGTCCCCCGGACCTCGGATTTTGGAGAAGAAATTTTGGCCTTGGATCAGAGATCTTGCGGGGCCCATATCTTTGCGATGGACGGTCGGATGGACCTGAAATTTGATTAGGCCGTTGGTCTTAGCCCGCCACGCATGCCTGCGAATTTTTAGCCTCAGATCTTGGATCTAAAGCTATTAAAGACGGTGGCGGCTTTGTGTAGTAGATTTAGCGTTCAGAGATCTTGCGGGGCCCATATCTTTGCGATGGAAGGTCGGATGGACCTAAAATCTGGTGGGGCCATTGGTCTCAGCCCGCCACGCATGCCTGCAAATTTTCAGCGGCAGATCTTTGATGTAAAGCGGTTAAAGACGCTGGCGGCTTCGTATAGTAGGCTTGGAATTTAGATTAAGGGTTAGGGTTAGATGTAGGTTGTAAGTTAGAGGGGAAGGAAGCCGCCGACTCCTCAGGTGTAGGATCTGTTGCGGCTCGCACCATAGCAGGTAGAGTAGTGTTAGTTAGGATCTAAGAGGGTATAATGTTGTTCAATGTGTCTTGCCTTGGGATTCTTCCAGTTTCGGAAGTGCAGATCAGGAAGTCATTTTCTCTGCGTGTTTGTGTTCTTAGTTCTGTCATCGCGCAAGAGGAGCTACAGCTTGACAAAGATACCGCATTTTGTAGTTGAAGGCCTTTGGCCGAATGTTCAGAGCTAGTGTACTGGTTAGATACTTGAGCAGTTTGGATCTACACCTGCGGGTGATTGCTGAATGCTTAGAGCTAGTAACTGGTTAGATACTTGAGCAGTTCGTCCTTACACCTTCGGGTGATTGTTCCTGTTTGTACTCCTTCGGGATGTTTCCCTTGAATGCCAAAGTGAAGTTTTGTTACTTCGAGTAAGCTTTGGTTGTAAATTCAGGTTACGCTGTAGAAGACACCCTCGGGGCTAGCCTCTGGAGTATTTTTGGGAATGACTAGTGCGTGAGAATTAAAACTCGTCAAGAGACTATTATGGTGTGACACTGTATCTTTTCTCAGTTGAGGTTCTCAGTTCGGTACCTGTATTTTGAGCGCGTTTTGTGAGTTGAGTGTGTTGTTCACCGGGTGTGAGTGACTTCGGTTTGACGAAGGTACCGCATCCAAAGTAGGAAGTCCAACCCGGGTGCTCTGCGCTAGTAGAAACTAGTGGAAGGGTTGTAAAAGCCGGAGTTGGGAGTCACTACCTGCAAAGCCTCTGAGTGTGATCCTGAGAAACTTTCCTCCTGAACCTTGAGTGGAGGTCCTAATCAACCTCTTAGTTGTGCTTTTCCAGTTTCATGTGTGTGTTGGGGTGAACTACGCTGCACTGTGCGTCCTCCGAGTGACCTCCGAGTTGAGCACTGGTAGTATTTCTGGGAGTGACAGTCGCTTGAGAATTCAAACTCTTCAATAGTGTGTTAAACGTGACACTTTGTACTTTGTGTGTTGCCTCTGTCCCTGTGGGTTCGACCTTTTTGCTGCTATACTGTAGTTTTAGCTTTTGGTGGGTTATTACAGTGATCAGGTGTGAGCAAGTTGAAGCGAGCCGTGCAAACCAACAAACTGGTATTAGAGCTTGAGTGTGTGTTACTTGCTGCGTCATGTCAAGGGAGTCGCATGATGATCTGACACGGACTCATCCGCGCCATGAGCGACACCAGTCCCCCTTCTCTCCTCCACGCCATGGCCGGCACCGTGACAACGATGGCCAAATCGTTGTCCACCACACTGTCAAGGAGGCATCGGGGACTGTCAAGTACCCAATGCTCACCAAGACAAACTATCCGGAGTGGGAGCTTATGATGACCATCAACCTCCAAGCGCAAGACCTGTGGGCAACAATCGAGCCCGGCAACGTGAAATACAGCGAGGATCGGCTAGCGCTAGCAGCGATCGCCCGCTCAATCCGGCCGAAGATGTTGTCCATCATCGGGAGAAAATCCATGGCCAAGGAGGCGTGGAAGACGATCAAGATCATGTGGATGGACGTCAATCAAGTTCGCGAGGGCAATGCTCAAAAACTTCGGCGCGACTTCAACAACATCGCTTTCAAGGATCGAGAGTCGGTTGACGACTTCTACATGCCCATCACTAGCTTCGTCTACAATTTGCGACTTCTCAGTGACACCATCGATGAGATTGAAGTAGTGCAAAAAAAGTTACAGGTCATTCCTGAGAGGTTTGATCAAGTCGCGATCTCCATCGAGACGCTACTTGACGTTGTGACAATGACTGTCGAGGAGGTGACGGGGCGATTACTCACCGTCGAGCAAAGACAAGAGGCACGCAGGCTCACTATGGAGATAGATTCGCGGCTGATCCTCTCCACCAAAGAGGAGGAGATGATCTGTCGCATGCGGCGACAAGAGAAGGAGACTGTGCGTGGTGGCAGCGGCAACACTAGTGGCGGCGGCTTCGGCAGCAGTTCCGTAAGTTCGCGTCCCGGCTTGTCACAACCGAGTCATGCGCGTGAGGCGCCATGCTAGGCCGCCAAAGAGAACTAGTGCCACTATTGCAAGAAGTATGGGCATTGGGAGTGTGATTGCAAGAAGAAAAAGCGCAACGAGGCGGCAAACTTGGTT